CAAGCTTCGAACCGAGCTTGACAATGTCAAACTCGAGGCTGATACTGCCAAGGCCCAGAATGAGATGTTGCTCGAGGAGGCTCAGTCCACAAAGGCTGCGGAGCTGGAGGCGGCTGAGCGCAAGTACCAGAATGAGATTGAAGACATGCAAGCGCGCTACGAACGCCAGGTCAACAACACTACTGAGGATGCTTCACGTACGGAGCAGCAACTTCTTGAGCGACTCAGTCTCTCATCATCCAAAATCGAGCACCTCCAGGACCGCATCATGCATCTCGAAGACAAGTTGGAGATTGCCAAGGAAGCTGCTGCTGCCGCCGCTCAGGCAGCGAAAACAGCCGGAACCGAATCTGGCGCCGCAGCTGTTGTCTCCCGACCTCAACAGGCGCCGAAGTCTCTTGAACTTCCGGAGAAGATCTCACCTCAGGCTCTTCGAGAGTCTATCATGGTTCTCCAGGAGCAGCTTCAGGCCCGTGAGCAGCGGATTGAGGAGCTCGAGCAGTCCCTTTCCAAGTCTGACCCTGACGCTGCTGCTAAAATTTCAAAGCGCGATGATGAAATCAGCTGGCTCCGCGAGTTACTCGCTGTAAGACACAGCGACCTTCAAGACATCATTTCCGCCCTGTCTGGCGACCACTATGACCGCGATACTATCAAGGACGCAGCCATTAGACTCAGGGCTAACCTGCAGATGGAAGAACAGGAGCGCGAGAGAGCTTTAAACGGAGGCTCAGCTATTAGCTTGCCCAATATTGCTCAGAGCATCCAAGCTGCCACACCTCGTGTTGCTCAGACCATCGGTCCAATTGCCGCTGCTTGGGGCAACTGGCGCAAATCAAGCCAGCCGAGCTTCCGCACCATCTCTGGAGTTTTAAGCTCTCCCGTTAGCGGGAGCAACTCTACGCCTTCTAAGAGTAGGGGTGGCCCAGCTTCCCAGAGCAGTCTGCTAAGCGGACTACTGACACCGCCCGCCTCAGGTCTGCGTCAAGCACCGACGTCGGACAATAGACCGCAACCCACGGCCTTCTCTAGCACGGGTCGTCGCTACACTTTGCAGGGAAGTAGCTCCGTGGACCGTGACCGAAGAGAATCCAATAGCTCTCGAAGGTCCGAGAAAACGCCGGCCGCTCCCAATACACCGCCACGGCATCAGGAGCGCGTCGAACAACCCAGGACGCCGCCTATGATGCGCCAGAGTGGATACGATTCCGATGCTCAACCTGGCGACTTTGACGATCATGACTTCTTCGAAGAGGACTGAGCTTAATATATATTTTCTTGATGATGACTAGCGGATAAAAATATTCGGGGATGGTCATGACTGGAGCAACTGGGTTGATACGATATACAACAGCCAAGCCACTGCTCTTTAAAACTACAGTTTTCCTTTGTCCGTTTCTGTTTTTGCCTCAAGAAAGCGAAATGGCTTTTGTCATTTTGCGTCTGCTTGATTTTAACGCACCTGTTTTGACACATGCACAATACACCAGACTGCGAATGCGAATCCTACCCCTAGAAAGATACCCCCTTTGGATGTTTTTGTCGATTCGCGTGTTGTAAAGAAAACGGCTGGCTGCAGACGACAAGTACTTGAAATTGAAAAAAGAAAAGGGTCTCGGATAAGACCGAAAGAAGGAAAAACTAAGGAGGATGGCATTATATATCGTCTGTTAGGGGGGCGTGGAAGGTTTTTCTGTTTTGCGTTTTTTGGTTTTTTTCTTCTTATACCATTCTAAACAAGCTACCCTTTTGAACTTGTTTTTTGTTTCCTATGTCTTGATTGTTTCTTATGCATAGCGAATGTGGAAGGGTGAAAAACAAGAAACGGTCACTCGTTACGAGATGGTCTGTGGCTAGCGCCAGTAAATAGTAATAATCTACACTCAAAATTGCAATTATTACTCGCGCTATGGCCAGTGAAGTCACCCATGGTGATTAAATAATTTTGCGCGCTCTATGTGGGAGTATGGCGGGATGGAACGTGCCCATGTCATTTCATATTACGGTATACCAAAAGTATGTATATATACTAGGGGTATTCATATTTCCATTACAAGATCTATTTAATTACTACTACTCAACAACTTCTCCACAGCCCACTTGACACTGAAATTCCTCAAGTCGGAGTAATGCTGTCCTACGCCGACGAATAGGACAGGTACATTGGTGGCGTGGACGAGACTGACCAGCGTTCCAACCATGTCGCCCACCGTGTCGCACTTGGAGATGATGAAGCCGTCGAGAGTGCGGACGGAGCCGAACGCCGCGTTGAAGTTGCGCGCTTGGGCGACGGAGTCTGTTCCCACAAGGGCCTATGTGCAAATCAGTATGTGTGCAGGATATGTATGACGGAGGGGGGTTGCTTGGTGGACGAACCTCGCCAACCATGAGAATCTTGTCAGGCTGGGCAAACTTGGCGAATTTCTCCAAGGAAGACATTAGTCGTTGATCATTGTGTCGTCGGCCAGCCGTATCAATAAGCACAACGTCGAAGCCTTCCTGCGCAGCATGAGATACAGCGTCCTTGGCTACGGTGGCTGCGTCCTTGCCGTACCCCTTTTGGTACAGCTCTACCTGCCCACCTTCTCGGGCGGTCAGTTCCTTCAGATTGCGGACATGAACCGCGAGTTGCTCGACGGCTCCTGACCGGAACGTGTCGCCCGCGGCAATGAGGACCTTGTACTTGTTTTGGAGGAGGAAGAAGCAAATTTTGGAGAGATTGGTTGATTTGCCGACGCCGTTGACGCCGACGATGGAAATGACATAGGGTCGAGCTTTGCGGAGAGAAGTAGCGGGCGGTGCGGTAATGGAGTCGATTTCGCGGAGAAGGTCGAGGGATGAGGTGGGCGTGAGCATTTTGGTCAAGGAGGATTCCATGGCTGTTTGAATCTTGGAGGTGATACTTTCAAAGTTTCCAGTCTTGACGCCCACAAGCTCCTTCTCGACGCCTTCACATAGACGAACGGCAGCTTCCCGTGCTACGTTTTTGCGTAGGAGATGTTCCTCCATGCCTTTCATGGCCTTGTCAAGATCTTCTTTGGTGAGCGTCTTGCCTCCAACGACGTTGCGGAACATGCCGCTAAGGGCATTGACACCCGTGCCCAAGAGACCGGATTTGGTTTCCGACTTGGTTGCTGCTGCGGCCTTTTCAGCCTCCGCGGAGGCAAGCATGCTGTGAACTTCGTCACCTAAATCCTTGAGGACAAATTTGCCTTTGGTAGAGGTTCCCCATGTTGATGCGTCGACGGCATCCAAAGCACTTGACCGACCGACATCCTGAGCTTCGACATCGCTCGTGGGGTTGGCAGAATAGTCGAGCTGCACATCTGTATCATCCTCTTCGGCAAACCCGTCCGCATCCCATTTTCGTCCCTTCTTGGGCCCCTTGGCACTCTTCTTTTGCTTACTCGCCGCTTCGTCTCCCGATGATGCTGGCGCGGATGTCGAGTTTTTGGCTTTGCGGGCTCGTCTAGACATCTTGGCGACAGGTCCAGCTTTGGCCACTAATAAATTTCCAGTACTTGGGGTAGATGGCCTCGAAGTGTTTGGTGTAGGTATCGGGCTCGAGTCGTTTGAAACTGCCTCATCCTGTGCACCATTGATATTGCGACCTCGGTAGGTTAGACCCGGAGCAGACGGGCTGTCGTCGACGGAGCGTACCGGCTGCACTGTTGGATTCGATGCAGTCGACGTATCTAGTTCGTGTAGTTGTTGATCAAAGTAGTTGTCGAACCCGGTGCATTCAACAATGGTCGTGTGTGGTTTCTTGAGCTGTTCGCCATAGAGGTTGATAAAGATGGTCTTGATATTGTCCACAAGTTTATCGACCCAGGATAGATGTAGGAGTGACCGGTAGACAGCCTGCAAAGAATGCATGTTAGCGCAAATTTATCGTATTCGAGGTCGAATGCATTAGAGTTGCAGGCGCGCACCACAAAGATAACACCGAGCTCCTTTACCACAGTCCATTTCAATGTGTGCTGGTCGCTTTTGTACGGAGGATTTGTTGCAGCTGATTGCGAGTCTCCTACTACCGAACCACCACTCTTTTCCTCGATAAATGTATCGGAGATGAAGCTGTTCACAACGGAGGAATTTATGGGGGCATATTTCCTGGACCAAAGGACAACACCGTTGGTGGTGATGATTTCGAAAGTGTCCAACATGATGGCGATGCGCCGGGCTCCCACTTTACAGGACTCAGAACTCTGGACCCAACAGGCACCAAGCGACAAGACGAGGTGTACAGAGTCGGGGTCCGACAATTAAAGGAAAAAAAGAAAGGAAAGCGAAAGAAGAAAATATGCCCAAGGAAGGGCAGGGCCAGACGACTTTCTACACGGCCAGAAAAGACAGGCCACCTTCGAAGTTCGCGGGCCGGCTGAGAATTCGAGGCTACAGACTGCACATGTGGCTATGTGTCCAGTGGTCTGGGACTAGTTTGGCCGCTCCCGCTAGCTGGGTCTATTGCAGACATGGAGACATTGATCAATGGGACTCAACTGGAAGCGCCTGGCTGATTGATAGCGCTTGAGCGCCGCCCAGAAGGCCAAAGCCTAGCTTGAGCCAGCCCTTCTGATGCGCGACCAACAGTGGCTTGAGGAGCCCATCACGTGCTGTGGCTGCTACCACTGTACGGAGCACTCCGTACCAGTTGACGAGTTGTCCAACTGCGGTCTGGTGCGTCTGCCCTTTTGCCCTGGCCCCTTGAGCACCCCCCAACCAGATGTGCAAGTGCAAAGTGGGTCCAGGCCTGCTGCACAGCCATACTGTGACGCTGATGGCTCCGGTAAGCCACACTTCACGGTGGACGCGATGATGCGCCGCCCAAAACGACCACATTTCCTCATCCCAGCCTCAGCAAACCGACCAAGTCTCAGCTGTTGCTCCCCCGTACACTACATCACGTTGTTGCAACGCTCTGCATTCGCAATCGACTACTCACTAACTTGGCCCTTCGATATCGACCCCCCAAACATAACAAAATCAACACCGCCGTCATGCAACGGGGGGCATATGGGCAGTCGCCCCCGTTGCACCACCCCGTCCCGCAACATGTTTCTACAGTTCCCCAGCTCAGATCACCACCTCCGCCGCCTGGGTCTGCGCAGTCAATGGGGCAAACGTACGGAGGAGCGAGTACCCCATATCAGCAGCAGGGCGGCAATAGCGGCAACGTCTTTGGCGCCTACGGACAATTCATGAATGATCCAACAGCGCAGGTTGCTGCTCAATTTGGTCAAACCGCTTTCAAGCATGGCCAGGAATATGTCGAGCAGAATGTACGACTTGCCCCGCGCTCTTGATTTCTACAGAGTGACCTTCCTTGTGCTAACAATGACAACAGATTGGCCGATACGTCAACGTCTCTGCGTTAAAACACTACTTCAACGTCTCTAACTCATACGTCGTCAACAAATTGTTCCTCGTCCTATTCCCCTGGAGACACAAGCCTTGGGCGCGCAAACAAGCTACGGGAGCCAGTGGGCAGGAAGGATGGTATTTGCCTCCTCGTGACGACGTCAACAGTCCCGACATGTACATTCCAGGTTCGATCATCTTTCTCTCCCTCTCTCTGCACGGCGTGCTTCGAGACCAAATATGGAAGCTAACATACTGTTCTAGTTATGGCTCTTGTCACATATATTCTCCTCTCCACATTGATTGCCGGTCTCAAGGGCCAATTCAAACCCGAGTTGTTAGGATACACCGCCACGACCGGCATGGTAGTCGTCATCGTTGAGATAGTCGCCCTGAAGCTGGGGTGCTACCTGTTGAGCATCTCAAGCCAGTCTCAGCTTCTTGACTTGATTGCCTACTCTGGCTACAAGTTTGTGGGCATCATTGCCACTATTGTTGTGGCTGAAATTCTCAACGGCGGCAAGGGCACCGGCGGATGGATTGGCTGGGGTGTGTTTCTCTACACCTTTTTAGCCAATTCGCTGTTCTTGGTGAGTTTTCTTATCCTCCACTATAGCCTTGCCATACCAAAAGTCTAAGCTAATACGTGAATTAGATGCGATCGTTGAGATACGTTCTCCTGCCTGAGACATCGGGCAACACTGGCGGTCCTATGCAGACCGATTCCCGCGCAAAGCGTAACCAACGCACCCAGTTCCTCTTTTTCTACTCGTACATTGTTCAACTTTTCTTCATGTGGCTACTCACGATGGGAATTTGAGCGCAGTCATTTGCCGGGAGTTTAGGTGGCAGCAGGTTGGGACTGAAAAAGCGACGGGACAAGACGGAGTCATTCAAAGGGGAATTTTGTTCGAGCCCGAAAAGTCTTGACAGAAGATGCCTATTCAGGACACAGATGCAGGTGTAGACGGCCAACCATTGTGGTAGAGGATCATTTGGCTCCGTTTCTCGGCAGACTATGGAGTCCAAGATGCCAACGACTAGACGTTGAGGTATAACGCGAAATGAGGCGAGGTTAAAAACTATATCACGTTGCAAAATATTACACATAATGGCACAATATAAAAAAATGATTCCAGACCACATCCGACCTCTCCACGACTCACGTACCCGATGTGACTCATCATATACAAAACGCCCAACACCCAAAACATCCGTCCCATCACGCCGATCACCATCCGAACCTCTCCATCCTGAAGACTGAACCAATTTCAAACCATGCACATCAACCCTGTGAAGCGGCTGTTTCCAAGTTGCATCCCAAAACCTGCGCCACGTCAGACGCACTGGTCCGTGTTTCTCCACCACGTGACGACTACTTCACCTCAGGCATACTTACCTACTTAGGCACTTGGTATATATCCGATCCCTACAAGACGCTTTCCTCCCCCCCCTCACCTCGCATACATATCCTCTGCTCTTTTATTCTCATTTTAATTTTTAATTCAATAGCTTTCACATATCTGTCATTTATCTTCACAGCGGGCTTGTGGTTTTTTTTTTCTTTTTTAAAAAAACATGGCCCGAAATCCAATCTTTTCCGCAACGCTCCAAGCGGCCCTTCTGGGGGCCACGTCCAACATCCTAGCGCAGCTCATCGAAGCATACAGGAAACAGGCAGGTATCCTCCCCCCAAGATTCAGCAGCGCAGGAAATGCTGACGAGCCAGACCGCCATCGAGGTCGACTGGATCCCCGTCTTCCAGTTCCTCATGTTCAGCATCATCAGCACGCCGCCCAATTTTCTATGGTGAGCGTGCCTCTGTCCTCTTGAGCTCGTGGTGAACGGGGAACCTGACCATCCCACACAGGCAAGACTTTTTGGAATCCTCCTTCCCGGCACGTCTGCCCCCGGCCGGACAGGGCAAGGCCGCGTCGGCGGCGGACGAGCAGCCGCTTAGCATCCGCAACACGCTGCTGAAGTTCGGGCTGGACCAGACCGTTGGCGCAACGTTCAATACGCTGCTGTTTAGCGTCTACATCCACTCTATCCACCTGGCTATGCCTGATGCGCCGCGCATTACCAACTTCACCAAGGCGACGAGCTACTGGATCTCTCCGGGGGTCATTGACTTTTCGGCCGTTGACATGGCCGTGGTGTGGCAGGCGGCGCTCGCCGAGTTTTGGACCATTGTGGTGGCGGGGATGAAGCTTTGGCCGGCCGTGAGTTTAGTGAATTTCACCTTGGTTAAGACCGTTGAGGGGAGGAACCTGGTGGGCTGTGTGGCAGGGTTGGGCTGGGGAATTTATATGAGTATAATTGCGGCCAAGGAGTAATTTGTTTTTTCCTTTGATCGGTCATTTTGGGTACTTGGCTTGCTGTGGTGGTGGTTTGATGACGAGGAGAAACGTTTCCATATTCATGATATTTGCCATGTGTGACGACTAGATCACGATAGATTGCCTGGAGTAGACAGATAGAATCAAAACACATAAATTCGCTTATCCTCGCTATGCTATCTATAGACGATGAATACCGTGTACAAACGCTATACAAATGTTACATAAACATGGTGAAATAGCCATGCCCTCCTCATATCTGTGAATTGGCAATCAGCCTCCAAAAGGTGGAGGAGTTCTAGCTCGAAGTGACGTCAAAATTTGCTCCAAAGAGTCATAGGAACACGTTGTCGCCGAGAGCCTAGAGGCCTCACTGGTACTTTCATAGTCTACCAAAGTTTCTGTTGGCTCAATTGACCAAGTCGAAGAGCTGCGAGATGAGACAGAGGCGGGCGATGTTGTTAGGTTTGGGTGAGGGTCGAACTCCATCGCTTCAGGGTTAAACCGAAAGGCAACCCGGCGAGAACCTCCAGATTGTGTTGGTGGCGAGGATCTGACGACCCTGTTCTCCCACACACGTCTTCCTGGGGTCGGATGAACACACTGCCTCTCGGCACCCCAATCAGGCTGGGCGTTTATCCAGGCTCTGATTCCTAATTGATGACCGGAAGAATTATCGCGAACCCATTGACTTTTCCGGCCTGACGTGTCATGGTGGAGCACAGTCAAATTACCATCTGAGGTAACTGAATTTGTGCGGCAAAGCGTCACCCTCGCTCCAGCTTCAGATGCACATTCCTCGTCGGAAGTATCAGATCCAGGTCGTAGAAACCAATCCGGAACCGGAGCAGTTGCTGATAGGTTGAGCAATTCCAATAAGGCGTCTGCGACATCATACCAGTACATTAGCCACGGCCGCATTCGCCACATGGTGTCTTCGCACAGTTTGGCACATAGCATGTCGTTGGCAAAATTATAAATAGTTGCAAGAACCCAGCGCAGGTCTTTGGGAAGATCCTCCATAGATTGAATAATGCAAGACCATGCTCTAGCAACCTTGAAGAGGCGGTCGACTCCTGGTTCGATGGGCTTGAGTGGTTTGAAGAACCCCATGAGGTCGATGTCTTTGCAGCATGGCTGGTACGCCATGGCGCCAGAGAAGGTACGGAACTCCAGCAGCTTCACGTTTGGATATATCCGATGACATATTAAGGTTGTATTTAGTTGTCTATAAGTTGGATCCGATCTTGGTATCTCTTCGAGCACATTGGGAGCAATGTGTGGCGGAGGCTCCGGGGGGTCCATGGACAGCTCAGGAAACTGTCGCTACCAGCCGTCTTCAGATTCCTGTCGTGCTTGGTCGATTTCTTGTAGGAGCTCCTCCATTTCCTCCTCTAGTTCCGCCATGTACTGAATCTGGGAGGACATGATGGCGTTGACGTCTAGCTCGGCCAACCAAAACGCGTGGGGTGCCTTGTCGTAAAACAAAACGGCGCACTCGCCGCAAAGAGGCTGGTAAGAGCACTTCAAGAGATGAAATGCATGATACCTACTGTGGATTGGGCAGAAATACTATGTCACGCCCAGAGAGGACGGTTGCTCGTGGCAAACTGTGCTGGTTGAAGCATTGTGGCGGCCGCGGCGGAAACATCGTCCGCGGCACCGCATGGTGGTTGGTGAGCGTAGTTTGAGTATAAATGAAGCAGTAAGAACACTGAGATGCTGAAAATGACTGATTTGACATCAAAAACAAAGGTGGACGAATGGGGATTGCGAGGATGCCGACTTTAGAATGCCCAAGCGCAGATGGGATGCGGATATGGGAGGAGAGGCAGAAGCGCGTTCGACTAGAGCTCGCACCTTCCTCCTGGAAAGATCGTCTGGCTTCCGGCAAGCTGTTGGTCGAGTAACATTAATCGATGTTCCCAGCCAGCCCCGGCCAGGCCAGGCTTTTGCGATATCGTTCCTTGTAGCTTGCTTCAGCTCATGGGATCAATTTGGTGTGTCTAGAGCCCAGTCGACATGTTTGATGACACGATAAACAGGGTGAAGCCGAGCCGACGACCAGTGAATGAACAATGCCGGTGAATTCCGAGGGCGTGGCGGCCAGGTGCTTGCGAAAAATCCACCAGTTGCAGAGTCGGAATTACGCCGCGATGGAGCTCTGCTCAGTGCTGTCAACAGCGGGGGAGGGGCAATAGAGCCAAGTTGACAGCTCCTCGCATCGTCCTTCATCCATCCAGCCAGCCATCCAGCCATCCAGCCATCTACGCTAGTTGATCAGTATGATCGTTTGCCATCCCCGACTCCAAAGCTCCAAAGCTCCTCTGCATTCGGTCCCTGACCCCCGAGAACCCCGAGAACCCCAATGAGCCGCCATTCTCCGCGTATCCTCCTCCGTCTACTTGCAAACGACAACTCCGTCGCCCTTCGCTTCTGTCCCTCTTCAACACCACTCAAACCCTCAGTTCTTATTTGCCGCAGACACCATTCCCGCTCATCAAACACACCGCCGCCATCCTCGTTTCAATCCTTCAAAATGGCAGACCGTGTCCACCGCGTCACCATGTTCAAGCTGCCCAACCCAGCCGCCCAACAGAAGCTGATTGACGCGTACAAGACCGTCGACGCAACCAACCAAAAGGTACTGTCAAGTCGCAAAGCATTCTCCTAGGCTGCTCACTCCCTCTGCCCCTCCTGCTTTTGTGCAACCCCTCTCCTTGTTTGCCAATTTGTCGTGCTCGCCACGAGCCCCGTGTTGTACCACTCGGTTTCTCCCCCCCTGTTGTAAGCGAGATCGCCCGTTGCTGTGTGTGCTTCTCCAGCCTAGATTGCCAATATCGCGAGGGACAACCGTTCATCTGAAGAGAAGACTATCACAATATGCACTGACACACCCTTCTTGCAGGACGGCAAGCCGTATATCCTGTCACTGGCAGTGGGTGTAGCCGAGGAAGACCCTCGCGCCCAGGGGTACACCGTCGTGTGCAAAACCGAGTTTGCTAGCATGGACGATCTGAAGTATTACGACGAGAGTTGCGCCGCGCACAAGAACTTGAAGGCCACCGCGAAGGAGCTGGGTGTTGAGGGTATCATGACGGTTTTCTTCAAGCCCCAGCTCTTGGGGAGCTCAGCATAATTACTTTCTGTGTACTCCGTGATCGACTAGACGATATCCCATTTCGGATTTCAGAAGGCCTCATGCCTTTGCGGTGGCTATGTGGTGTGGTGTGATGTCGTGCCGTGCGTGCAGTTATTTTGAGTTGAGAGAGAAAGGATACAGAACCACAGTGTCAACCGTACGTACAAACCGGCACAAACGAGAGCATGCGCACCAGATTGAAATGTTCGTCTCACAGTAGTGCAGATCAGATCTTGATATTGGCGTACGGCATGTATTAGTTGTGCGAACCCCCCACTCCAATCTATTCGTCATGATACCAACAGAACCTACCACGTCTCAACACCACGTCTCCCAAGGTTTCCATCGTCTCCTACATGCCACCATCACACAACTCTTGGCACCTCGGACGACCACAAAGAACAAATTTCACACCCCTTTCCTCCCTCAGCACAACAAGCTCCCAACCTCCTCTTCCCGCCCCCTCTTCACATACCACTCCGCCTCCGTCTCTGCACTATCCCCATCCACTATCGAATCTCACCAAGAAATGGGTGTCGTGTCCCCTCAACGGCGATCAACATGCCCCCACACCATTCCACAGCATTGCCTACGAAGCCCTAGTCGTTTCTCATGACCGTGCAAGACTTGGTTTCGGAGAGAAACAGAATCCAGGAAGATTTGAGCCGGTTGTTACTCGGGGATACGTGACTATTGCGCCTGCGAGACTAGCTCATCGGCTTCTTGAGGACATGGACAGCGGGTTTCAAATCGAGGGCAGTCATCCTCTGGGTGAAGCGTGGGACATGTGTTACGGCTTGAAAGGGGAGGAGGACAGGAGAGAGGGGGGTCAAGGGTCCCAAGTGGTAGGTATGAAGGGGCACCCCCTTTACAGAGAGACCAGTTCAGCTGGAAACTTGTAAGAGGGTGTGACTTGGGATGAGGAAATGGTAAATTGAGGCTGGACTGGAAATGCAACTGGCTGCTGATTTCGGAGCGCCTGCATGAAAGCTGTTGGTTTGGTGTGTGACTTACCTGGGAGTTGTGAGTTGTTGAAAAGCCATCATAAATGATCAATTTAGGAAGCTGTTGACGATGAGAAATACCGACTTCCTAATATCCCCAACTTAAGCTGTTGCATAAGTACGTTACAAACTATTGGTGACATACCATGATTTGCTTAATCCAATATTACATTACCTGTGAGACCATCTTCTGTTCTGCGAAGCACAACGTTCGCCACTGCATTTTGTCATTCATTCTTCTTGGATGAGGGCAAGCAGATTTAAAACGTGGGCATCATTGTCACAGCGAAAACACGTATAATTTCACTCAATTGCTATGTAATAGGGTGCCATGTGCTCTTTGCCAGCATAAATGTGATAAAACCGACTGATAAAAAGACCAACTGATCATCTTATAAGTGAGAAACAAACATCAAACAGTGGAAGAGAAAAATACTCGCACAATACAGAATAAGCCGCCCGGGCGTTCATAACTCCATGGTCCAACAATTCGTGCCCACGTTATGTAGCCTGGTGTCGCCAGAGAAAATACCGAGACGGCGAAGAAAATCCTAGTTATGCACTACTAGATTCCTATGTTAAGCCATGTGACGAGCATGTGTGACGTCGTTGATCTCCGTCCCAGAGTCACTTCCCCTGCGATACGATGACGATTCGTCCTTGACCGGAGCCGTTATTCGTTCAATAGGTGTAGGTTTTTTTTCCAGGGTGAAAAGAGAAATGACCACCATGACTGCACAAGCCACTCCGATGACCTCGATCTCTCTTCTAAATGCGCCAATGTAGACTTGTCTTACGAGCCCTCGCAAATTGTCGGGCAGCCGCAGTCCTGATAAGGGAGACCGGTGCAGCATATATAGTTCTTGATCTGTCAAACGACCACTTAAAAGCCTATTGGCGTGTGCATTGAAAAGGATCGTGCATAAAGACAATCCAATGCATCCACCAAGAACCCTGGCCTGGGCAACAGCGCCTTGAGCGGAAGCTCTCTCATTTGGCTCTGTAGCCAAAATGTTTGTCATAATTGTCGCTGCCGAAAAGGACAGGCCAACACCCAAGCCAAAAATTGCTTGATAGCCATACTGGCCTGCCGCCGTCTCGGAATCACCAGACACAGTAGTCATGAGCCCAACTCCAAGAAGCTGAAGACAGGAAGCTGCAACCAGGGTATAAGATGTGTTGTTTCGTTTGCTTGATATGGCTCCTCCAAGAAAAGAGCCAAAAGCGCACGCACTAAGCATTGGAAGAATCCGAACTCCCGCCATAAGTGGGTTTTGATTATTGACCATCTGAAATCGCTCTGGTAGGATTATGGAGAAACAAATGTATGGGAATCCAGTGAATAGTGTGACACTGTCAATTTCAAACACGTCCCAACGTTAGTCTTGTTCAATACACCTCAATTTCTGCCGATTCAACTCACAGTAATCCGGCGGCGTATACACGCTTGCCCATAAGCCCGATGGGAAATATTGGCTCGATATGACGATGTCGCTTGCGTGCCAAGTGTATCTCCCATGTAACAAAAACAATGCAACTCAAAGTGGAAACAATGAAGCTGATGACAATTGCTGGACTCAGCCAAGCTAGAGCTTGTGAGCCAGCCTGTTGCAAGGCGAAGACTAGAAAACCGGAGCTGCAGAGTAGCGTGGCACTACCGAGGAAATCGATGCTCCTGAAAGCTGTCCACGAGAGCAGGTCGGCCACGTCTTCTTGTGGCCAAAAATTGGTGAGTATTAAAATTGTTATGAGCCCAAAGGGAATACTACGGAAGTAAGCATTAAATAGGGCACTCGAGGAGCTGATCGCTTACTTGAGGTTAAACAACCATCTCCAATCCGATAGTTGAGATATAACACCTCCCACGAGAGGGCCCAAAACAAACGCTGCAGCAAGAGTGGCCCCAATCATGGCCCCAATTAGACTTGGCCGATGAACCGGACCAACTTCGACAAGTCCAATCTGGGTGAGACTATAAAGACCAGACGCTCCGATACCTTGAAACGCTCGGCAGCAAATCCTACAAAAAGTGAGCTGCGAAGCTAACAAACAACGGGATCTCGATTCATACAGCTCAATCATGCCTTTTGCAGTTGCACAACCCATTGAAAAAGCGATGAATATTATCCAGGACAGAATAAGCATGTTTCGTCGGCCGTAGATGTCACTCAACTTTGAAATGCAAACGGCAAACCCTGGGCGCTGTTAACGAAATGGCAAAACGTGTATGGCATATGCCATGCCGAGTGTTAGCATACCCATGTAAGTCAACAGATAAGCCAGGATAATCCACGGAGCATTAGCAAAGTCGTTCAGTTCGTGGGAGATGGTAACCAGAGAAGTAGCGACGATAGAGGTGTCCAGGCTGGAAAACAGAAGACCGACAAGCAAGCTTTTCAAAGACGAAGTCAGCCGACTACTGTCCAGGTAAGTTTTCCACACGTCGACAATACTTACGATGCCATAAGAACTTTCTGGCGAATGCCGCTGACATTGTGGCGATTTCTGGCCCGGGAAGGCGCGGTTTGGTCTGCCTGGGATATATTTGGATTCTGTATGGACGGCATCTGACTAAGGGAAGGGTTAGGGTAAGGAAGGGACATCTGGAAGTCGCCCATGATGATGCTCTTAGTATGAAAGCGGTCCAAGAAACAAAGTGAGAAATGGAGGGGGAAACGAGTGTATAACTGGGTGTCGTTGATGGTCCTGGTCTGACAACGAGTCGGCGTTGAAGCAGAGGAATGCCGAAGAAAAGAAAGAAGTCTCCAAACCGGGAGAGGGGCAAAGGGAAGAAACGAAACTCATGCGGCTCGGGTGATGCTGTGAATTTCGCCAAGCTGTGGCAAGCAGTGAATTAACAGCCGAAACAGACGAGACTCGCCAGAGTGTGACGCAAGTTTGGTCCGGTCTGTGCTATGAACTGGAAGGAGCATAGCACTTGAGCCATGGTCACTCCTGCCTCGCTCCTGCTCCAACTTGGAGTTACTGCTTGACTTTCTCGCGGGGAGAGACCCATTACGCGATATTCAACTGCTCTTGACATGTATCGTTTCAAGCAAAATGTCTTTGTCAAAACTGTGCTGGACTCGGTCATACAAGCGTGCGTTTTGATCTGCCAATCCACCCATTCGTTGGAGCCTCATGCATTGACACCACTTACAAGGACTAATGGACCTCCCGTTTGTAAACCGGTGGCCACCAAAGACCAAGCTAGACATGGTCTTGCTCTCAATCGAGAGCAACCGAATTGCCAATCGCAGTGTAAGAGCGAGATTCTACGCCCCAAGTCAAAATTCCACACGTACAATAGAATACTGAGACAGGGGAGCAGACTGAGACCGAAAACGTGTACGGAGTATGATGTGTGTGCTACAATGCATCGGATTTCTGCTCTGAGCAGCATCCAAATATTTCGGCTGTGTGGAGCAAGCGGGAGTATACCATAAAAAGAGGCCACTCATTTCAACGACCTAGCCCGTGTAACAAACCATTCCCTACACCATGTTCCCTTGGATCAGTCCCGTTTGGAGCAATGAGTGAAGTGGCTGCTGTCAATTCCTACAACTGCGCAGGCCATGTATTGCCGGCGGCCATACATGACCAATTAGCGGGCCTTCCCTTGGCTATCACAGTATTACACCATGCTCGTACAGATACAACACTGCCTTGGTCCATTAGTTGGACGAGGTTGCTGGGCGCCGGCATGACCGAGCCCGTGGACAACTGTCACCCATGTATGGTGTCTCTGGGCCGACGTGGCTTGAAAGAAAATGCTAGATTCAATCTCGGGCTTTTCGACGGTGCTTTGTTTTGGCCTCGTCCTCTCCTGTGCTGACAATCGTGCATTTGTCCCAGAGCAGATGATGTGGATTTCATTGGAAAACCCCAGGAAACCACTGACGTGGGTTCGAGGACCAGACTGCGTCCAACGATGCCAACTCTTGTCTGTGCATCAGCATGGGTCTTCCTAATTTAAGAAATGCAGTGAGGCCCAAATGGAATCCAAGCACTGTGAGTGCCGGCACAAGTTAGGAGAGCTGTTTTTTTTTTTCGACAGAAAAGACGCCCTTCCCCTGTCCTGTCCTTTCCTTTCCTTTCCTTCCTTTCCTCTTTTCCATTGTTTGTTCTTATTGTTTGTTCTTTTGCACTTGAAGCGCAGGGAACCGTGTGGTCCGCCCTTATGAACAGCATTGACGACAGTTCACCAAGGCACTAACGTAATATTTTCTTGAAACTGCTGCGCTTAAGTGTAGTCTCAGTTACCCATCGAATCTTTTATTGACAGTCGTACTTGGGTTCTGTGATGATACATAATGCGAAATAAAGCCATTACACTACAAGGAGTGATCTCCACTTTTCGTAGTGTAAAGTAGGGGGCGAAACTTTTATCAGGTCTGGTTCTTCAAACCGACAACCTGGAGGAGTCCAATGTCAGCTTCAACACATTGTTGCTTACCAGACCCTTTCACAAACCAGTCGGGCAGCCCAGGCAGGTTTGTCACCACCAATCCGTACTTCTTCGCAAATCTGTGACGCTGATATTCCCAGTTTAGGTTAACAGTCAAATCAGTAGCCCCGGGTATGTAGTTATTCAACTGGTATCACTCTACCATTGCAGTGAGAGACATAAAGTTGAGGTACCATGTCAATCACAACTGACGTCTGATTTGCCTCAGACTGCATACATGCATGTATGAGACCTTGTGACGGTCCTACAATTCCAAGGCCAGAGGGTTACAGCCGACACAAATCATGGGGTAGATGGACCTATGAGAGCTGGAGACTGGCCGACGAACCCGAACGCCACCATACACGCCCCGACTCTGCCTGAACTAGGAGTGCTTCAATCCAAAATGTGCCTCATCTGATTATCTAGGCTACAAGATATCGAATGTGGGGCATCCCGGACAGCCATGGAAATACACAATGGCTGTCTGTCCCTGGCTGATCTTCGACGGGGCTAAGGCCATGCAGCGATCATATCCGTTGTCAATGCTGACAGCTGGGTCTACCAATGCTTACTGGGTGCCGGGGCAAGGATCAATAACCCGATGTCTCAGTAGTCATGATGCAGCCGCATCTAGCAAGTAATGAATGAGTACAGTCAGTCCCAAGAGCACCTGGCATCTACCAAGCACTCCTCGATCGACATGCGTACAGTATGGGAAGACGAGTTCACGGGTAGTGGCCGGAGGGTTCTTGTCTTGAGGAGAGCTCAGGGAACTGACTCTTTTGTTATCCAGCTAGACTGTATTCCTACGAGTGCAAGATGTCTCAAACAACAACTCCCTAAAACTGGGCCGACATAAATTCTGGTTATCAGAATAGAGGTCTTGTCGAGGGCACATGCAATGACAGACGACTGGGGCAGATCATTGGCTGTGACCACCGTCATGCATTCCTGATACAGTCACTTTGACGTCGGCCTAATTGTGCATACTTTGCATAGTCTGTGTCGTGAGTTGACCAGCAAGACGCCAAAAGATCCCCAAGACACAATCGTGTGGGGTATTCAAAAAATCGAGGAAGAATCTAATAGGTTAAACCATGAAGGGTTAAGAGAATCCTGCAAGGCACTTTTACCTTCAGCCTGACAGCTTCGGTCTTACACATGACCCAAATTCTATTGTCGGCTTATGCCATACCCGATAACGCCGGACCCTGTTGGCTGTTTCGTCCTGTTTGGAAACGTGACAGCTCGGGGTTGCTGCTTCTTCCCTAGTATGCCTTGTCTTGAAGCTTCTCAAATTTTTTGTACTTGACTATGTTGTCTGTTGGAAAAGTCTGCGCTTCGAAAGTCTCTCAAGGCATTTTACATTTCCCAGGATGAAGGCAGGTGGGATCACGTCAGGATCAGAGCTCACTTCAAATAGAATATATCTCGGCAGGACACAGTCATTTCGATTCAAGGCTTACGGTCCCCGCTTTCACTCAACATTGTGGCTGGGTTTCTAGATCCATGGAGTCAGTTCGAGACTGTCATATCCCAAGCCTTCTGTTGGTGATGCTGACGTAGCAGAACTTGGCTGGGTGGGCTCGACCACCATCACCACTGGTCTTTGCATTGCTCAAATAGAGTTGATGCATAAGATACCACAAGCCAATACATGCGTTGAAGCTCGACAAGCATGGTTACATGCAACCATTATCCAAACTGCGTTGCCACCGTCTTCAGTCAGGAATAAAGCCCTTCTCAAGACCCATTTCTCTGCCGATTCCGTGCGGATCCTCTGGTCTGTGTGGTCCTGCCCCTTCGGCCGGTTGGCACTGGGGTGGGTTGAATGTGTGAGGACTTTTATTACTTTGTCGTCATTCTTGTTGCCTCCGTATATTCATAGGCCTCCGGGACTGTGAGTGGCGGTTCAATGCGGAGAGTTGCGTTGGTTGGCAGATTCACAGCACTCGATGCTTCGGGTTCAAAACCCCCAAGGTCCCCTGCCACAACTTGAATGACTCTTTTCATCTTAATTTTTCCAGCCTTCACAAATATTCCCTTCTCCTCACCTTGTTTTCTTTCTTTGAGACGCATCTTTTGTCCTTCTACGGCCCGGTTTCGGCAGCTGTCCTCCACACCAGATCATGGACGATGACATAGCCGTCATCGGCCTTGGCCTTCGCTTTCCTGGGGATGCCACCGATCCGGAGAGTCTTTGGAAAATTTTAGAGGCTGGAGAATCACAATGGTCAGAGATACCTAAAGAACGACTAAATATTGATGGATATTATCATCCCAGCGGAGATCGACAAGGAAGTGTAAGTGACCGCCATGACGTTCGTTCAAGACTTGCAGGTGCTAACCTAACTGCAGATCTCCTTTAAGGGAGCACATCTTCTCAAAGGAGATATTAGAGCTTTCGATGCCACTGTAAATATGAAGAAAATTCTTCGAATAGATGATGGCCTGTCGGCTAAATGAATTTAGTTCTTCTCGATTCCCTCAGAAGATGCGAAAGCGATCGATCCCCAGCAACGAATGCTGTTGGAAGTCTCCTATGAGGCACTCGAAAATGGTACGGCTTATCTCCAATCGGTTGAAACAAATTACTAATACGAAAATAGCTGGCCTGAAAAAGGAAGATGTCTACGGAAGCGATACTTCCGTTTATGTCGGATCGTTTGTCAAAGGTAAGTCACAGCGGCAGCACCCCGCCCGTCCCCAACAATCACAAACGCAGCATCCTAATACTTTCAAGACTACGAACAAGTATGTCTTCGAGACCCTGACTGGTCTCCACAATATGCCGCTACTGGAAATGGCATTGCCATCATGGCAAACCGGATATCGTACTTCTTCAACTTCCACGGACCTAGTGTGACGGTTGATACTGGCTGCAGTGGCAGTTTGGTATCTGTCCACTTGGGAGCCCAGAGTCTTCGTAACAGGGAGTCATCGATTGTGAGTTCTCTCGGAAATTTATAAGGCTATATTTGTCTTTGAAGTACTGATATACTCTCCAGGCCATAGCAGCAGGAGCTGGCATGATTCTCACGCCAAGTACCATAATGCCAATGACCGCATTGAACTTTCTAAGTCCAGACGGCAAGTGTTTTACCTTTGATGAGCGAGCCAACGGTTACGGTCGTGGAGAAGGTATCGGCGTGGTTATCATGAAACGCCTCTCTGATGCTCTTCGGGACAACGACACAATTCGAGCTGTCATTCGTGGCACTTCAGTTAACCAAGATGGTCGAACTACCGGTAAATTTCTTCCGTGACCCCTCTGTTACGTGGCAAAGCTGATCATTGCAGGAATTACTCTCCCCAGTAAGGAAGCCCAAGTGGCAAACATCCGAAGCGTGTACAAGTCTGCTGGCCTTGACTTTGACCAGACTGCATATGTTGAGTGTCATGGAACAGGAACACAGGCAGGAGATTGGCGAGAGCTCAAGGCCGTTTCTGAAACACTGGCAGCCGATCGAGATATCAGGAAACCAATTGTGGTTGGATCGGTAAAGCCGAATATCGGCCATCTTGAGGGTGCTGCAGGAGTTGCTGGAATAATTAAAGGAGTAATGGTTCTTGAAAAAGGCAAGATCCCGCCTAACATTAACTTCAAAACTGGCAACCCAGATATAAACTTCGAAAATTGGAAGGTAAAAGTAAGCAATTTGAGACTTGCGCAACGCAATCTATTCGATACTGAACGATCATTTAGGTACCAACTTCTCTTATGGACTGGCCCATGCCTGGGCTTCGCAGAGTGAGTATCAATTGCTTCGGCTTTGGGGGTACCAATGCCCACGCCATTCTGGATGAAGCACCGAAATACTTGCAATCTCGTGGCTTAATAGGAAATCATAGCTCCGCTGATATGACGCCTTCGAGCCCCGACAAACTTATGCTTGATGAGGATGCTACAAAGTCCCGAGAAAACGAGTACCAGCTCTTTTGCTACTCCGCTCATGAGAAGAGCGGAGTGTCACGTATAATGGGATCTCACTCGGAGTATATTAAGGCGCGGGCCAAGTCGGGGCCCCGGGAGTTGCTGACAGACTACTCTTACACCCTTTCTTGCCGCCGGTCAACTATGGAATGGAAAGGGTTCATCGTTGCAAAGTCGATCACAGAACTTGCGGCCAAACTTGAAACTGCCGGATCGTCCGAGACTGTTCGTTCCTTGAGAAAATCACAGCCACGTATCGGCTTTGTTTTCTCTGGCCAAGGAACCCAATGGGCTAGGATGGGCCAGGATTTGATGCAGTTTCAAGTTTTCAGGAGCAGCCTTGAGGAGGCAAGCGAATACCTCTTGCATTGCCTTCAATCGCCCTTTAACTTGATAAGAGAGATTCTGAGGGATGAATCTGATTCAGCCATTTCCTATCCTCACATTGCACAGCCTGCTACAACAGCTATCCAGGTAGCCTTGGTCGACCTCCTTCATGCTTTTGGTGTGTCACCTACTAGTGTAATTGGCCACTCGTCGGGCGAGATAGCCGCTGCCTACGCTGGAGGTGCCGTTTCTCGATTCCATGCTTGGGAAATAGCCTATTTCCGAGGATTGGCTGCTATTAGTATGCCATTCCGCGCTCCAAAGTTGAAAGGAGCCATGCTGGTGCTTGGTATGTCTTTCGATGAGACACGGAAATATTTAGAAGATGGCCATTTTTCGGCAGAGATCGCTTGTGTCAATAGTCCAGCATCAACCACCATATCAGGCAGAGTTGATGCCATAGAGGCTATTTCTCAAGATCTTGCTGAAAGAAAACAAAAGGTATTTTGTCGTACTCTGAAAGTCCAGACTGCGTATCACTCATCCCATATGCGGCTTGTCGAGCACGATTACAGAGACTCTCTTGTATCTATACAACCGAGAGAGCTCCAAACCCAAGTTCAAATGTTCTCTTCTGTCACTGGGAAGTCTGTTCGGGGAGAAGAGCTTGGGCCACATTATTGGTCCGATAACATGGTCAATCCGGTGCTGTTTGTGGCAGCGGTAACGTCCATGATGCAACAGCCAGTAGAAGCTCGCCCAGAGATTCTCATCGAGGTCGGCCCTCGAGCGGCCTTGCGATCGCCTACGACAGAAACTATGGCGTCCATTTTTCACGAAGACTTGATTCCCGCATACTATTCCATTATGCAACCAAAGATCAATGGAATTTTAAAAGTTCTGGGGCTTGTTGGGGATCTTTGGACCGAAGGCTGCTCCCTGAATATGGAGCAGGTCATCTCTCGAGGTGAAATCCAAAGAATGAAGTGCCTGTCCAATCTCCCCCCATACCCATGGAATCATGACAAGTCATATTGGCATGAGTCTCATCTGAGTATTGCCAACAGAAATCGAGAATATCCTCGTCAGGATCTTATTGGGGCACTGACTGCGGACTCAACTCCTTTTGAGCCGCGCTGGCGTGGCTTCCTTCGAGTCTCTGAGAACCCCTGGATCCAGGACCACCAAGTACAGAAAACTATTGTCTATCCGGCTGCAGGTATGGTTTCTATGGTTCTTGAAGGGGCCAAGCAGATAAAGCCTGCAATGGATGGCTTCTTGGGGTACGAAATTAGTCATATGCATCTTTCAAAAGCTATGATCGTCCCCAACACCGAGCATGGCTTGGAAGTGGCCCTGAATATCAAGATAACCACCGACATCAGTGGAGAAGTGCAACCCAAGGCCAGCCACCAGTTTTCCATATACTCTAAGTATCTAGGGCGAGACTGGGAGCAGCATGCAACTGGATTCATACAGTTCAAGCATACAACTGCTTATTCTTCGGCCCCAAGCACGGCACATGACAAGCAGTTGGACAAGCTCTCTGATAGCTGCAAGAAGGGTATGAACTCCCGTCAGCTTTATGAAGACTTGGACACTATCGGCATGAACTATGGTCCAACTTTCCAGAATATATCAAACATCCGCAAAGGTGAGGGGGCTTGTGTATGCAAAGTCGGCGTTCCAGACACCAAGTCCAAGATGCCTGCCAAGTTCGAATATCCGCACATAATTCACCCGGCAACCTTGGACTCGATGTTTCATCCTTTGTTTGTCATTGAAACGGTTCCTATGGTTCCCACTTTTATTAAGAGTCTTTTCGTATCGACAGGCATTGATCAGGATGGTCCAAAAGTGTTTTCCGGCTTCGCCACCGCTGACCGTGTCGGACTACAAGGTGCCACTGCAAAGATTGTCATGAATGGTTGCGGCACCTCCAAGACTCGAGTTATCGTCAATGGACTGTATTTGACTGCTCTTCAGTCTACAGGCTTGGAAGAGAAATTTCTTCCAAGCTTCCGAAACCTGTGCACCGAGATTGTCTGGCGAGAAGACGCCACCTTCGACTCGTCCACTGATCTCATAGAAAACATTCGTGTTCTAGCTCACAAATATCCAGGATTAGCCGTCTTGCAGGCTGGGGGTTCTACAGAGGACGCAACAGAGCTGCTGAAAGTCCTTGCCCCGGCAAAAGATGATGCGCCATCTCTGTCGAAATTCACTTTGTTGGGACACAAGGACTCGGATACTTTCCACGAGGTGATTAACAAAGTGAAAGAAACTCCCGCAGAATGCTTCGTGGAGTGCAAAACAAACATGGCGGATGTCAACTCCAACTATCATCTCATCATCTCGTTCGATGATCTCGGTTTAGAACTGAAGAAGCTGAAGGACAAACTCCAGGTTGGAGGCGTACTCATGAAACTCAAATCTTCGTCTCTAAACCACTACACTCCCATCAATGGCAACATTGACGAACAACATTCGAGAAACCCAGTTGTGTACAGACGTCCTGCTGCGTTACTGGGCTCACCTGCTCCGCCAATCATTTTACTTGTACCAGAGGATGTGAATGACGAGGTCTCAGCTCTAGTTGACCTTGTGAAGTCCTATCAGACCAAGCCTGCGCAAGAATACGAGATATCGGTTTTGAATACTCAAGAAATTCTCAAGTGTGCCTCTCTTGTTGAGAAATCGGTTATTATTTCACTACTTGACGTTTTCCCCTCACATGACCAACACTACTCTATTCTGCAATGGGATGAATTCCACTTCAACCTGCTAAAGGACATTCAGAAGGCGGCAAAAGGAATGATTTGGCTGACCCGAGGTTCTCATATGAACCCTCATAACTTGCAAGGCTCGTCGATTATTGGTCTAGCCAGAACTCTTATGTCAGAGGACCCCCGCAAGGCTATTGTCACTTTTGATCTAGATGTTGCCACAAACATATGTGACAATACAGTCGTAAAGAATATCATGGCTGTGTTTTCTCAGACTTTCTGCGAAGAACCAAGACCGGGTTGTTATGAGATGGAGTTTGCGGAAAAGGATGGCAAAGTCTTCATTCCTCGGCTAAGGACAATTCAAGCCCTGAATCAAATCATTGAAGGGATGGCTCCATGTATTCTCAACAATCGGCCTTTCCACAACGACGCAGCTGGCCCAGAGGATTTGTTAGATGTGAAACTCTCTCTTGTCAAGGCGGGTTTGTGTGATGACTCGTGGCATTACACTGAATTTCCTCAAACAGACATACTTCCGGACGAAGTGGACATCAAATTTAGTCAGACCCTTCTCATACCCCAGGATGTCGAAACGGCTCTTGGACGCAACTTTGAATCTAGCATTGGCCTCGATGTGCGAGGAACCATCATCAGTGTCGGACGAAATGTAACAGAGTTCCTTCCTGGAGACGAAGTGGCCGGGCTAGTGTCTGATGGAAGTATCCAAAGCACGCTTAGGGTCAAATTGCCCTTCATTCAGCGTAACAGCACAAGTTTGTTCCCAAGTCAGCTTATTAGCGCATACTACTCACTTGTCTATATGGGTAGGGGAAAACCAGGCAAGTCGGTCCTCATTCATGCGGGGGCGAGTGCGTATGGCCTTGCGGCTATCGCGCTTGCCAGAATTCTGGGGGTCAAGTTATTCGCGACAATTGTCGGGCAGGACCCCGATAACCAGCGGAAGATTCTTGAGAGCTGTGGATTGACTTCAGACACCATCTTCAGTGCCGAGGACGAGTTTACTCCGTGCCTCCTAACAATGACAGATGGTAAAGGCGTGGATATTCTTTACAGCACGTCGCAAGATCGTCTAAATGGTGTTGAGAAATGTGTCAAAGATTGTAAGCCGATATCCCCAAGACCATCACTGTTTAGAATTTTTGGCTCTGACCTTCTAGGCGGCTTAATTGTGCGGCTTGTCGGTGGCAGCCCGTACTCTATCGGACGCAATTTCGAGTCGATGAGCCGTGCTACTGCTGTAAACTTCGACCTGCGACGTCTGCTGCGAGAAGACGCGGATTTTGTGACAGAACTACTCGCATCCGCATCTAAGTTCCTGGATGAGAAGCAGTTTGATGATTCAGTTGTCACCTCATCGGCAAAGGACTTCTCCATAGACTCGCTTGATAAGGCGTTGAAACATGTTCAGGAACATCCATATCAAGGCGTCTGCACGGTTTCAGCCAACTCGGGAGAAAACCACAAAGTTAATGTTCTCTGTGACAATAATTTCAAGTCTCTAAGCGAGGCCATCGACCCTGAGGGAACATATCTGCTGGCGGGTGGACTCGGCGGTCTAGGAAGAAGCATCGCCGAGCTTCTCATCGCCAATGGCGCAAAGCATCTGGCATTTGTCTCTCGATCAGGCATATCCAATAGTCAATCCCGTGACTTCATCGAGGGCTTGCAAAATGAGGGTGTTGATGCAAGAGTCTATCAAGCTGATCTTTGCGACAAGGCGTCTCTATCAGCAGTCATGAAGAACCAGTTGTTTGTTCAGATGCCTCCTATTCGAGGGATATTCCAATGCGCTGCTGTTATTCAGGACTCAGTATTTGACAACATGACCTACCAAATGTGGAATGCCGCATTCCTGCCGAAGACACAAGGTTCTTGGAACCTGGTCAAGAACATGGCGGGCTTGGATAGCAAGCCATTTTTTGTCTTCCTGGCCAGTTCAGCCGGGATCATTGGCAATCGAGGACAGGCCAATTATGCAGCCGGAAACAGCTTCATAGACGCTTTAGCACATCATTGTCTCCTTCATGGCGTCCCAGCAGTATCAATCGATCTCGGCCCTGTTCTCGGGGCAGGCATGCTCGCCGAGGACGACGACATGTTGGACAAGCTCCGTGCCGCAGGCTTCTACGGCATCCGCCATGATGACTTCCTTACTGTTATCAAGCACGCCATCACAAGGGAAATAGGCTCCTTGGGAGACACCACGCCGGCCCAGGTCATTCTCGGGGTGGGAACGGGCGGTTTACTGCGTCAGAACAAGCCAGCAGATCCATATTGGTCACGGACCGCGCTCTACTCGTACTTGAACTTGATAGACATGCCACCACCAGGTCTCGATGGCTCGAATGGACTACAAGGAATGGACATGAAGTCGCTCCTGGCGAGATGCGGCAGTACAGAAGGTGCAGTTGATCTCATCCGTCTCGGGTTATCAAACATGCTCGCCAAGGCTACAAATCTGCTTCCCGAAGAAGTTGACGTGAACAAGCCCCCAAGTGCGTACGGCGTTGATTCCCTGGTCGCCGTTGGAGTCAGGAATTGGGTATTGAGCAACTGTAATGTTGAGGTATCGGTGTTTGAGGTGTTGAGTAACGACACGATTATGGAAATGGCACATATGATTGCGAAGAGAGGCGGATACGAAAAGGCATAACTACAAGACTTGATTGCTTTCTTTTGCCGTTGGGGAAGTCTCCGTTGATGTGTGTTCTTCGGTTGATGTTGTATGATCGTTGGAATGGCAGAATGCATTTAGATACATGAGTAGCTTACCTGACGCATGAATTGTGCGCGAATGCATATATAATCCGTGCTCTGTGATTCTTAGCACCCATAATGTTGTTGCATGGGTGTGCCACGTCTTCTTGTCCCTATTTTCGGTTTTCTCAAAGCATAGGGATAGAGTATCGTGAAGTACACCTCGGTTGAGTGAGCATGTAGGGACACAAAATGAAAAAATAAATCCCTTCCAGGCAAAAACTGGTGAGTGAGCTTGGCAAAAAAAGCCAACTTTAAAAAAAGAGATGCGTAATCTGGGAATCGAACCCAGGGCTCCCCGACGCTGCTCGGATGGCAACGGAGAATTTTACCACTAAACCAATTACGCTGGTTCTTTTCATTGACAATAAGATCATTATTTGTTATTGTAAAGTTACTGCCTCCTCGCTGCCTGCAAAATGCAAGAGAGGTCACCCTTCTGGTTGTCAACTCAGGACTAGTCAACATCTGGTAGCAAGCCACGACGGCCATCTTAATTAAAGGGGAGTATTGTTTCGCTCTGTAGTCAAATGAAATTACAAGCATGATACGAGTATCGTACAAGCGTAAAATCTACACCAGTATTAGGCTGTACCAGGCCAAGGACAGTAAGAGACTAGAAAAATAGACCGTCTACGCATCATGACGCGTCAGACGTACCAGCGCACCACGACGGCCATCTAAATTATCACTTCGTCAATTTGACCTCGGACCACTGCCTTAAGAGTAGTATTCCAAATTTCCGTTCCTGTACAATATATAAGTCGCTGTTACCATATGCCACTAGTTGTGGGCATTTCGTAGAATTGGTAGAGCAATTACGCCTCGTTTTATAAAATATACACATGTCTTTGTTTACCGCCATGATTACCTTGTGCAAGATTGTCAACTACTCGGTACTTTCAGAGTCGGCATGTTTAGCTGTCCCATTCGCCGTAGGTTTCGTCGGTTCCCAGACGGCTTCAATAACACTCATTCTGCAACCTGGCGTTCTTGTGACACCCTGGAATATGTTAGCATCCGCGAGTGTCGCCAAGGGAATAGCGGTCTGTGGGCAACGCTCACCTTGAAGACAAAACGCTCGTCTGCTGCCTTGAATAAGTCCCTAAACTCTTGCTCCGCGCGTTCTTGGGCATTGAGCAAGGTCAGCATGATCATGTCCATGCTGCGCATCAGCTTCTCATCCCAAGGGTTCTCGGAGCCGGACTCTCGCAAGCAGTGGTCGTTGATAACGATACGTGCGCCGGGCTTTAGGGCCGATACGAGGTTCTTGAGCAGCTTGACGGCATATGGAGTTGAGTAATTGTGGATAATCCACCGGAAGAAATACACTGAGGTGTTGTCAGTTTTTCGGCGATTTAGAGTGCAGAAAACATGCGTGCATACCGTCGGCATCCTTGACAGGCTGTTCCTTGAAAAAGTCGTGGGCTTCGAACTGAATTCGCTCGGCGACTGATTCGTCATCAGAGATGGGCTTAGGTGCGCTGCTGACGGTCTTTGGCAGATCTTGGACGATAAACTTCATGTTCTTCCACTTCTTGGCCAAGTCCACAGACACAAATCCGTGGCTTCCACCAATATCGACAAAGGTGCCCCCTCGCTCATCTTCCTGCGAAAAGTCATAATTATCCACAAAGTGCCTGACCTCATATCCCTCACCGCCCGTCAAGCTAGCCATAGCTCCTCCCATCCGTTTCGCCCGAGCAGGATCCTTACCGAACGTCACAAACATGGGCTCCTGGTCTACGGTGTCAAACGCATAGTTGAAGCCAGTAGTCGTCAGTGATGTGGCTTCGGGGTGTTCTTTAAGAGACTTGAGCACCTTTGCGGCAGAGGGGAAGATATCTTCGGAGTTGAATCCAACCCAGTCTTGTAGAGCCCCGTCCTCCGCCAGCTTGCGAGATGCAGCCGTGTGGGCTATCAAACCGGGCTCGGGCTCGCAGAAGATGTAATTAGTCATGGCATGCCGGAGAATTCGCGCCAGGTTAATGGGATCCAGCGTGGTTTTTTCTTGCAGATCTGAAAGAGGAATGGGCGTGTTGAGGGGAACAAGCTTGGCTAAACAAGGTCAGTGGAACAAGATACGCCGACGTTATTCCCTCGTCTATAAGCTTACCAATGCCATAATTGTTGATAATTTGAAGGCTTAGTGTATCCAGATACTATGCGCAGAACAGTTAGCATTGTCCCCTAGCAAGGTTCAATTGCACATACGCTCCAGACACCCCATCGCACGCTTTCTCGTGGTCCTCTAACAAGTGTTCCTAGTTCACGTGTCGCGTATACAATGTCTTGACGACTTTTCTGAATCTCAGGCGGCAAGTTTGGAAAGTCCCCTGGAGCATCGCTTCCAAATCCGGGCTGAGGTAAATCATTTTCTTTCAAATATTGCTCAAGCTTCTCTGCCTCGGCGGCAATCCTTTTCGCCAGGGTTACCAGTCGGGTTGTTTCTGTTGTTTGTGTCTTTGCTACGGGTTTTGGGTCTTCGTGAACAGCCTGGGGCCTGGTTGCGGCCGGTACATGTTGTCTTGTTCGAATATTCTGTGGAAAGCCGCCAAACGAGCGTCTGTTCTGCTTCTTCTTCTCCTTCTCTGCCTCTGCCGCTGTGCTTGTTTGCAACCAGGAAGGCACCTTGAACTTTGCCATGGTCATTCAGGCTCAAGGTTCAAGGTTATGTCGGCCGGGTTCTGGTGGTGCTAGTATACGAAATTTGACCATTGATATGAAGACTAGAGACGGACAAAACTAATAGTTACTCCAACTGTTCGTTCAAAAAAGTCGAGACTATACATATGCACCAAGAGACCAATTTCGCTGCACAACAAGAATCCGAAAAATGCGGTGAAATTACAGATGCGACATGACAGGGTCAGGTTTTTGGGCCTGTCCTCTCTTGTTGCAAGTGGTACAACCATTCTCTGATCACTTGATCCGAAGGAGCATCAAGGCGAAATGGGCAAGCCGCAGATGAAATGAAAACGGCATCCATAGTACGGAGTAGTTGCGTGGCAATTGGTAACAGCCACATATGCACGACGGTCCGTGGACCTGCGGGCCACTCACACAGCACTTGAGCAAGTGAGCAAAACGCTTCATTGTCTGGTGCGACCAAATAACGGCCCAAGCGTGTGATTCCCGGCGAGCCGTTGTTGCAAGGCTCATCTCTGGGCGCGTGCGCCAAGTTGAGGCAATCGCCCATCTGCCACCAACATCGCTTCAGCCCAACGCACTTGTGAGAGCTCGGATGGGTTGGGTCTGACCGAACGAGAATCATTTGGGGTCGAACCAGTCTGCCGGGTCGAGATGTCACCCCTTGTTGGTCACAGCTGTTGCACCGAAATCCGGCCAAGGGATGGAGGTGGTGCGACCCAACAGGGCGGTTCTCCCACGTGGATCTGCTGCCCCCAAAAGGAGAAGCCAGTTTGGACGGGTCAAGATGACAGATTGGCGGCGAGATGAAAGGCAAGGCAAAATAGGTTGCGAAGGGAATGTGGTGACAGGGTTGGACAATTCGGTCCCCTGGGTTCACGATGTGCGATTGATCCAAAAGTACTCACCATCTAATATTCCGATGTCGTACTCTGTATGTGTGCAGGTTTTGTTGGGTTCTCAGGCAATCAGCTGCGTCGTGCTTTCCACCCGCTGGTCCCACGATGCAGGCTTGCTCCTTCCTTCCTTCGAGTCTGGTCACTGTCCGTTGCGATGCAAAACAAGGCAGTTCAAAATCGTGGACTAATCGTAGAGCTTTCGACTGTCGACTGTCGACTGTCGACTGGTCTCGTTAACTCGCTGTCTTGCAAAAAGGCCGGTTTTTTTTCTGTTGTCGCAATCCGTTTCAAAGTCAGATTGCAATCAACATCGCGTTCGATTGCCCCCTTGGAATAAGAACTTCTGTCGACTGACAGAGTCAGCATGTACAACTTCTGCCAGGGCAAGGTAGGACAGACACAACGAAAGGGGATGTGTCAGGATTAATAGCTTTTTTACTCTAGAACAGAGCCACCAAGAACAGTCCCCCCTGCTACCAAGCAATCATCATTAGCGTCCTGGACCTGTGGAAACCCGATCGTCCTTCGTACTTCGGCTTCCAACGAACCAGCCAACACTGCAACCCCATGTTGGCGCGCATATCGTCTCAGCATACATACAAAGGATACCTGTATAGTGGAGTTGGAGGAACCATTAGCGCGGCTCCAGATTTCTCAAGTGAAGAATCACTTGACTCCATTAGGATTCCTTAGCTCAAGGAACAAGGGCTGAGCAACTTGGCATACGCTTGTTGATAGTAGTACTATTACATACATACATGTATGTATAGAAGTGCAGAGTACGGGGCATGGTGTGCTTCATTGGAGTAGCCTTGGCGCATGTCGGCGGCGGGGCTTCCCTATGCCATGCCTTGGTAACTTACATACAATACGGAGTATGGTACGGAGTATATGATATTGTATGCAATCAGTGCAGAGGCGGTCAGGTTGCCTTGGTGGCTTTCATCAGTCGCCCGCTTTGTCAACTGTCGACGGCCTCGTACTAAGAGGAGATCTTCATTTCGGAAACACAAGTCCATCTATTCGCCGGTGGCTTGGAATCCCTGATAGTGTGGCATTTCCAATGCAAGGCGACATGTCCACTGCAGCATGTGAGCCCATTACCATCGGACAGCGTGTGCTTTTCGACTCGTCACATGCAACAAGGCTGGATAGAAGACGAATGTCGTTACAATGCCTTGACTCCCTTGCAAGGTCAGGTCGGGTCGCCTTTGTTTGAAGCATTTGCCCCGCTGAATATCAAGCGATGAGATTCGCTGAAACAAACAATCTCGTCAAAATTGTCCCGTTCGCATGGCGAGCACCGCGACAATTATGGGGTATAGCCCATCGTGCGGGATGATAAAATTGGCACCACCACTTGACAGATCCAGCCCACACATAGTACTAAGTAGACGGTTAGCTGGGGTGGTAGGCCATCTGCTGGTGATAAAACCACACCGATTTCGTGCTCCTAGAACCGCGGTCCCGTCGATATGTTTCGCCGTCGCTTAACTGGCGCAACAGACATGCCAAGGCAAAAACCAATGACGACCCACAACATTGACAACAATTATTGCGCGCCGAGGTGAGGCCTTCTGACATGACATGACATGACATGTTTGTTATCAAATGCAACAGCGCGACCAACGACATTTGAAATGCGTCGCTTTGATGATTACACTACCCTGGGCGTCTCGCTATTAGGACAGCCCAAACCCAACCACATTTAGCCTGGCTTTGAGAGCAGCTGACAACTAGCGAAGTTTGAAAGGTGGAAAGTACGATGTACCACGTACTTCAAAGGCGCGGTAGCCGCCTTGCTTCCATATTTCATGTACCCGTTGGCAACTAATAAGTGGACTAGCCACTTACATCGATAGTCGCTGACGGGTAGCTGAACTGTTGGCGACGGCACTAGCCCAGAACTTGTCCTCTGCAATAAAGCCTGGCGCCTCATCGGGACACTAAGCAAGTTCTCTCATATGCTTACTACTAGAAAGACGTGAAAGAGAGATCAAACCGACTGAAGCGGATGCAGCCCGACAAATGCAAACAACCTCACGCCGGGCCACCCAGCCAACGTATGTACAACAACCGTGTCAATTTGGCCCCAGCATTCTCATGGGTTTTGTATATCATGTCTCAACAGAGCACTCAAGTGCGTTCTGTGTCCTTCTCCCAATACAGAGTTCAGGGCGGAGAATCTAACAAAATGTCCTCCCTTTCACTAGCCTCCAATTAATCATTCCATGACATGCTCTCACGTTTAATTTTGCCCTTCTCGTCAGCAGTGCAGCCTAGTCATGACTCTATGCTCAACCCAGTACCTTGTATAAATAAATGATGAAAGTCGATTCTAGAGTGGTAGCCGTTTCCCCTCTTGTTTCCCCTTCATATCTGACAGTCTTCATACAGAATGTCACCTAGATGCAATAAAACAAAATATGCCAGCCTTTGGTCATTCCAACAAAACACGGCATGGCCGCCAACATGGTATCAAACCAAATTCTTTGTATTCCCCCGCTCCCGAATCCCCTTGTGTCCAAACGCCATAAGAATATAAAACTGTCGTTGTTCGGTTGCGAGTTACTGATAGATATGAATAAGTGACGTCTAAAAGACCCATAGCTTATTCTAGCCAGCGGGGCTCTGAAACGCCGAGTCCATAAACAGACGCATTAATAGGCCGTCGTCGGCTTTTGTGCGTAAATGATATGCAGAGGCATGTACATGAGAGCGGAGTTATCATGATATGCTCGTCTCACATCCATGAGGAATAATTCCACTTCATCCCGGGTCCAATGCAAACCACGGGTAAGGGGTCCCAAAGCAATGGCCTGCAAACCATCCAGCAGAATCGTACGCCAATACAATCCCACAGTCTTGAGAACTTTGTTCTTCGGCCAAGTACCAATAGGAACGTGGAAAACTCGCTCAGTCACGTTCGTGAAGCCCGCCTCTTGCATCTTCCCAGCAAGGACCCCACCAGAAGATATATCCAGATCAACGCCAAGGGCAGCTAGACCCTCCGTGACTAACGTCCAGAACTTGGCAACGGGGTGGTCGGGCGGTACGGTCCCGTCCACGCCGGCGCCACGAGGTCTGTGGTGAATTTCTTGCATTTCCATCCAACCGCCTGGTTTCACATGCCTAGACCCTTTGTCAATATATTTTGTCATAAGTTCGGGAGCGAACGCTACTTACTCAAAGGCTCTTCTGTACAAGCGATCCCACTGCTTAATTGCCATGACCGTGTGACGGGAGTGGACGTAATCGAAATGGTTTCTCGGATGTAACCAAGCCGACTCCATGTCGTCAACCATAAATCGAACGTTGGGTGGCAACCAATCTGGTTGAATTGGTGACAAGTCAATGCCGAGAATATGTGCACTCGGAAACTGGTCACCCACTGCAGTTACCCCAGAGGCAGTGGATTAGTATCTGATCCTCATGATACCATAACAACGATTGACGACACGGCAACTTACTTTCTATTGCCCAGATCCCCGTGCCAGTTCCGAGGTCCAATACCTCTTGCGGGTTGTTGCCAATGGGGGCAAAGTGTAGCTTCTGGTTGCATAGCAACTTGACCATTGCGTGCTTCATATCTTCACGTTCTTGCTCGACGTCATCATTTGGGAAGTTATAGGTACCTTCTCTGAATCGGTGATATCGCCGCCCATTTTCGAACATGTAGTCTCGCACCGAGGACTCTGCCGATGTGCTGCCTGAGCTGAAGCCGTCACTATCATATCCTCCATCTGACTCGCCATCAGCAACGTCGCTGCCGGTGAAATTATCTGCAATAATCGATTCTTCGGCCTGTGTCAGAGCCTCCTGAGACATGATTTCCTGCTCTGGGGTCGACAGGTGAGGAAACATCGATATTCCATTTGGGTGTATCAGTGGTAACGATAGTATTGAGTGCAATCTTTCGTGGCCTTGTGACGGAGAGGCCCCATGCCCAACTTCCTCTGTGTGGGTGTGGGATGATTTCGGGTCTTCTTCTTCGCCTGGACAATATGCGCTGTCATGCTGCTGTGTCTGCGACTCGGCCGTAGCCAAGTCCTGCGGAGGCGGTTTCTGACTGGAGCTTTCTATCGGCAAGTCGGATTCTGCTTGCGAATTTGACGAGGGAAGGGGTGTGACCTGGGCCTCTTTCTGTTGTGTGGTACTGTTCAGGGGAGGTGTTGGGATTGTCTGGGACTCTGCTGTAGATGTCGCATTTCGCGTTTCTTGCTGTTTCTGCTGGACGCCATCACTAGGCATGATCACTGTATTCACTCGTACATCGAATGGGCCGGGAATATCGAGATTTTCGTCGAGGCCCAACCCATTTGCTATTGAAATGCCAATGTTGTCAGAAAAACTTGGTGCCAGTAACTGTCGAAGTTGGGCCCTGGTGCATAAAGTTGGATTGTTTGCATGTTCTCGCTCCAGGATTGAAGGGAGGCCGAGGAAAGAACGTGTGTATTCAGGATTGCGGCGACGCCTTTTAACCTGCTCTTCTGGAAGAGGGGCATCGCGTTCATGCTGAGAAGACTGTTGTTGGTCCATGATCGGGCATTAATATGAAGGTGAAGGCGATGCGGCGCCTCTGTACTATCACAAAATAGGTGTGTAATATGGCCGGCCACGTCGACCGAGAATGCCAGCAGGGTCACCCCTCATGTATACAATGCGATTTCAAGGTGCAATAGTCGCGCAGCAAGCCCGCGGGGATTGGGCACGGACAAGTCACTCTCAATCGTGTGGTCGACTTGTTGTGAGGCTGTAGGCGTCAATATGTCGATGTACGGTGTTACAAAGGCGCGTGTAGAGACAGAAATAATAGAGTAGGGGTCCACGAGCAGAGCAGACATATATATACCGATGCGTAAGGCGTGAAGAGTCAGAGTAGAGTCTGGACGCAGCACTGGGCTCGCAGGCGTCCAAGTTCGCCCTCGCCGACAATGACCGGCAAGTGAAGAAATTGAGCAAGTCAACAACGAACAGGAGCAATGAGGCCGATAGTGTGGCCGCACAAGTCAGTTTTGCTCCCCCGAGGAGTCGGATTCAAGATCCAACAGTCGGGTTTGTGTGACGAACAGGGAGAGTCAAAAGAAGGTGTAAGGAACACCGTATGTACGAGAGCAATGAGCACTGGACCGGGGTGGTGGGAGGACGGGCTCAAGAGTTGGCACGCTTATTATGATGCAATTTGGAGAGGAGCGGCCACTTTAGAAGGCTTTTTGGTCTTTTGGCGGGCTATTGGGCGGTGGACTTTGGGTGGTGTGGTGGTCTCGGCGACGCACGCAAGCAAGGAGGGTATCTGTAGCGATCTTGCAGCACCAAAGGAAGGTACGATGGGCCGTGCAGGGGCCACGGCCGGAGGGAGGGACACCAGGTGAAGGAAGGGCCAGGACGACAAGAGAATGAAGAATACGGCTGCAACAAGATGCTTAATTCCCAGGGTCCTGGTGAAAACCCGACAGACCAGGAGGACGACAGGAAGGATGAATGACTCGGGAAAAAGAACCGGCACAGACAGAAGCTGGCCAGGGCTGGTGGTGGTCGTGGAACAGCAAACGGGTGATGGGGAGTACATACATAGGCACCAGTGACAGCAGGATCAACACTTGGGATGAATCTCTCAACCGTTACAAAGTAGGTGTCTAGCATCAAACTCCCTACTACTAGGGGAGTACTAGGTACTCTATGTAAATGAATGGGGGCCATCCAAATCGGGTTAAAGGTCATCACGCTAATGGCCGTGGTGCATTGGATGGTGCCACCAGGCTCAAGTTCAAACGCCCTGGCAGCCCGCAGACACATGTGGAAGTGAGTACGGAGGAGTCAATACTTGCTGATGCTAGGGCATCCGCGTACGCTGTACGCCGTGCACAGAGGACTGAATAGTAATCCTTATGTGGCCCCTACCCGAGACGAGCAGTGGCAGTATTACAATACTCCCTCCGTATTGTTCTTGGTTGCCTCAGATGATGTAACCGAGGGCTCGAGTTATTCGGGGGTCAAGATTGTGTTCAATGTCCGTCCCCGCTGTGGCTCCCCCAGACCGGAGGCGACGTCCGCGCCTTGAAGCCGACTGGAGGTGTCAAAGTGCCCGTTGGTGGCTTTGTTCAGGAAGACGTCAATCGATTGAGGGAGGCCACCGTGTGGCCCGTGTGGGCCGTTATTTTTATTTTGTTGTTACTTTTTCCCCCTTGCAAGTTGTTGCGGTTGTTGTGGTGGTGGTTGTAGTTGCATGTGTTGCTGATGCTGTTTCTATTCAATGTTGTCACAAGGCTGTGGTGGAGAAGCAGACCCGTCTGGAGTGTTTGGTGGGCTTGGCTTGCTGGGGACTCCAGGTGTCGGCACCGCCTGGCTACTCCGTAGTCATATCTCACATGCAATCAATCTGTTTTGGCGCATGGAGGCAAATTACAGCAGCATTTGAACCGGTTGGCCTATGTTATGGGCCTCTCGACCCGTAGTGACTCCGGGGTTCAAGGTTTCATGCCCCCCAACCTGCCTTGGCCCGGCACGGGAATAGCGGGAGCCTGCTCCAGCCCGCTGTAGTGCTGCCTCTCCTGCCTGCTGCCTGGCTCCTTCCATGTCGTGTCAAATTGATGTCAACGTCCAAATGTGGCGACTGACACCTTCTAATGGACCTGGCCAACTGCGGAGCACCTTCTCTCGCTTCAACACTTGTCGAATGTGCTTCGGAGCTTGGATGATGCCTTTATCCCTGTCTTGATAAGGTTGTTCGCCGACCTGCCTGACTACAATGGTCCTGATCCATTGGCCGACATCAATTTGACAATTTGACACCGGTACTGAAAAACCCTGTGGAACCCCCTACTCACCATGATTCAATTTCCCTCTTCTACTCAAGCCTACGCGAACCTCTTTCTCCCTCTCCTACAATACGTCAACGTTTGCCCAACACCGGAAACACAAATATCGGGGCAAATTGCCCGCAGAGGCCTCCTCATCTTCACACGCTGCGCAACTCTACATGTCAAGAATCATTCTCAACATTGGGTAGATATCTGGACCCATACACAGCAACAGAGCGCTCTTGTCATAATGATATTCGTTCACCAACCCGCAGCATCATTGCCGAAGCCGTTGGTTGAATTGAGCTCCGTATTACAGGCCGTCGCATCCGGACCCCCAACATGAAGCTAATGTCTGTAGCGGTGACAGCGAACAGCCAAAAAGGGACTCGATAGAATTGGTGCTGGGAATACGTTGCGAGCACAAGATGCACCCGTTGACATGCCTGTGTCGCATGTCACGGGCATTGGTGGCTCCAGAAATGCAGCTGCGTGGACATTCGCATTTCCAATTGAGCGGTATGCCTTCTTCCGTGCGACAATGCCTCAGACGACGCTGGGCCTTGCGGCCGCAAATGATGTCAAAGTTGCAAACATGTACTCCGTAAGCAGCAGCATCTCTCCCAAGTGCCTTCGAGTGGTCCGGTCTATAACACAACCACCGCAACAACCCGCAGTGACCGAACCAGCGGCATGTTGCTGTTAGCTTGTCCAGCTGCAACCAACCCTTTGTCTTGGTTGCGAAAAGAGGGTTATGTGTGGTCTTTGCGTAGACTTGAGATGCAATTTTGAGTCTCCAGCTGGTCAAGGCGTACTGCTGTTTTTCCAAGTTCATTGCGCACCAGGCGTCCTGCAGCGATCGGCATTGACAAATCCTAGGACAGCCAGACTGTTGCACGAAAGTGCATCTGCTCTGTATCTCGGGCGATATCTCATAACGGTCAAAACTCTGCGGTGTGCTTGTGACGCGGTCACGTCCATCTACGGTCCAACACGTCCGCAATTGGCGTTATCGCCGTCAGCAATCTCAATCGGTATCACGCGGTTATAATGTTGACGCAATTACCACAGCGGTGTGTGGACCGTTCCAGCCTTCCAGGTGCTTCACCGTTGGATCTACGGTGCCCTTGATGTACAATAGGTCCCATATCTCCAGCATCGATTGTGATGGCATAGTTACGTCCCGCGGACAAAATTCATCATTTGTAGTGCGAGGCTTCCCACCCTCCCCAGCAACGCTATGAGTGACAAGTCAATCCATACCGGTAAAAAATCAAGTTGGCCATCATCCAACAAGCATCCCGACGGAATTCGGAGGGGAGGCTGCCTCTCGTGACGAAGATGGCGTAGCAGACGCAGCATCCCAACATGCGCACTTGAAAAAATTGTTACCATGGCATTAGTCGCAATACTTGGGTTTGTCTATGTGAGACACGGCCAGTTTGGGTGGCTTTTTTCAATCAGCCAGTACCTTTTGGTTGAAACTCTTGCCGATTCAGCAATATGACATTACGCAAGGCAATAAACAAGTCTGGGCTACGTGTGGCATAACACCATTGTGAACTAGTTCGTTGCTGTTTTCAGCCCGTCAAACTGTTTGCTTAAGAAATTGCCAGCCATTGGCAGTATAACGGCGTGTGTTAAGCAGTTCGTTTCAGGTGGCGATGTCTCCTCGCCAAGCAACATACTCAACTGCCATTTCCTTTTTTTACCCCGAGCATTGTCGGCAGACATGGCTCGAATCCGATTTGGTCTTCGGGATGTAGCACCGGGAATGAGCCCCATGAAACCTGACAACCAAACGACATTCGGTAACTGGAATGTTCTTTCAATGGTTACGATGCACTAGTAGGTAGGCCCGTCGTGACGGCGTCAGGGCCGTTTACCTTCACGCCAAGTCTAAGGCGTAGTCCTCTTGAAGCCAGAGGCTGTGGGCTCTCGGGACAGCCTGGCAATGGAGTGTCTGCCGATGGAGGCCGAGCATGTGCGCTCCCATACCTGGTTGTTTGTTGGTGTTGCATTGATGGCAACTGACATTGAACATGCTACCCTATGCTTACTCCGATGGGCGGGAGCATGTAGGTTAAAAGTGGACCGTGCTCACGCCAGGTCTGCCAAGGAGAATTTTTGGAAGCTTGCTGTTGTTCAATGGCAGCTCCTTTGAGGTATCGTATACTACTAAGTAGTAGCATGTTATTCCGAGAGAGTGCTCGAACGCGAGCCGAAGTTGATGAGCTAGATGCAGGAGTCAATCCACTTTCGACGACACCCCCGCCGTTCCGTGACATGGCGCTAGCCATCGTGCCTCATGGTCCATGGACGTCATCCTAGATAGCAACAACGTAACTACAACCCGTCCGTAAAAGTCACATAGAAGGCCGTGCCAGAGCAATACCAACCCCATGTCGCGTCCGTCAAGAGTTCAAGCCCGATGCGTGGGCAATCCGTCATTTCGACCAGAAGACATTGCCCAAAACCAGGACAGGCTGAAGCAAGCGCGAGACTTGCTCTCCAAGAACGACCTGTATCAGGCAAGCCGCATGCTCCTAGGGCTGCCCGAGCCCGATGTCTATACCTATCATGCAATTGCGTCCGTGAAGCTCGCTGAGGCCCAGCATGTTGTCGATCGAGGGGGTGACAATGGTTTGCACGGATGGTATAAGGCAGAGGATGGCTCAACTGTGAGATTTTGCACCAACTTCCCCCCCCCCCCCCTTTCTCAAGGGCCCTACACACACATGGACACAGAGCAGAATAAAAAAAAAGGCGCCGACTGACTAGAAACCAGAGAGACCCCCCATCACAGGCAGACATAGAAGCGTACATATCAATATTCAGTCCAACCACATCTACAGCAGCCGCGCTGAAAAATTTCACCACAAACGCCAAAAAGGGCTCGCTCCGGTCCGAAACCGCCGCCCACATATCTAGAAACAAGTTCATCCACGCAAGCCTGCTCACCCAGCTTACTATCCCAAAATGCAAATCGCCGCCCATACAAAATCCTTACTTTGACTTCTGGGCCTGGTCGTGCCGGAACCTCGAGTGGTGCGGCCCAAACGCGTGCTCGGAGCGAACGTCCATGGGCCACCACATCCTGCCCATCTTCATGCACCACTTTGGCTGCGTGACGCCGTCCCACGAAGGCCTGGAGGCCCTGCGGATCCTCGCAGACGGCCGGCCCATTGCAGACGTCGGCTCGGGCAACGGCTACTGGAGCTTCATGCTCCGAGGGTACGGGCTCACGGTCCACGCGGTAGACAACATGCAGAGCGAGTGGAGGGTGAACTGGGTAGACGACACCAGCATCACGGACGGGGTGAAGTGGCTGCAGAGGAACAATGGGGGCAGGGACATGGTGCTGCTGCTGGTGTATCCTGTCGTAGGGGGAGGCGTAGGGGGCGGGACCGAGGGCAGCTTCACGCGCGGTTTGGTCGGTGCTTACGAGGGTGATACCATCGCCGTGGTGGGCACACAGAACCGCAATGGATATACGGGATTCAAGAGCATGACGATGGATGAGTACATGGCGAGGGAGAGGAAGGATTGGGTCAAGGTGGTGCAGATGCCGTTGCCAAGTTTTGCCGGCAAGGATGAAGCTCTGTTTGTGTTTCAACGGGGCGAACGGGCTCCCAAGGCAGACCAATAAGTCTTTTTGTGAAAGAACGGGACGGCGAGTCAAACCAGACGCTTGAGATTGTCGCTTGGGTAGCAATTCGTGTTGTAGCTCAGGGCGAGGTTCCTGTGGTTGCACGTATAGCCGCAATGGTGCACAAGGTCACGCGAGTCGATTCGACGTCTTTGCACAGCCTGCTTGTACGCAGTGAGTGCATTGCATGGCTTGGCAACGTGTGGAAAGAAGGACGTGATTAGGCACACGGTGATTCTGTCCAGTTTCTGATGCAGCGGGCAAGTCCGTAAGGCTTGGCTCGCTGGAGGCCAAGACGACATGGAGAGGCGCATCGGGTCTTGGTGGGTGTTTGGCGAAGACTAAGGGCGGCCCATCCCGCGTCGGTGCGTGCTGCCAACAATCATGTTATCATGTCTGGTGTGGATGGTTGGCAAGCTTCGAGGTCAAAGTCGTCAGCCACCCCGCCCGTCCTTCTCCAAAAAAAAAAAAAAAAAAAAAAAAAAAAAAAAGAGGGAAACGAGGAAAAAACAACAACAACCACAACAACCACAACACATGAATCAGCCCAGCCCTGGCAAAGCCCAGTAAGATTGCGGCATAGCCGGCAATGCAGCACCCAGGTTGGGCGCCATCGGTTGATGATGAGACGTTTTGGCGCAACGCACAGTAAATGAAGTTATGCCCGTGGTGGTCAAAATATCCAATGTGCACCCGTCGACATGTGGAGCACAATTGGCCGGACTTGTGTATTAGTAGAAGGCGTGGGTGCTCAGCCCTCTGAGGAGGAAGCGCTGGGTTGACCAGCGCCCGCGATTAGTCTGGTGCTAGTGCCAGCTCTCAAGCGCTCGATTGGCTCCCAGCGACGCCGCGTCCGCTAGCCCCTGGCCTAAATGGTAGCCCCCTGGAACACTGAACCATCAATGAGGGTGCAGCCGGGCGTGGCACCAGGGATTCATTCAGGGTTGACCCAGTGCCTCGACCCCATGTCGACGACCACCAGTTGATCCCGGCCGTCGGTCCTGGCCGCTGCATCTGTTGTTTCAGTGTCCGTCGGCGCCTGGGGCAATCGCCAAGCGCACCAGATCCCAGCGCCAGTGGACATGCACCAGACACCAGTCACACCCAATGCTGAACTGGGCCGTGGACGTCATGGTTGGCCCAGCGGGTGCCGTCAAGAGGGGCAAGAGTCAAGACATGGACGATACATGCACATGCATGTGCGCCTTGTGACTTGTCTGGTTGTTTTATTAGTGCCTGTCAGCTTCAGAGCTCCTCAAGTGCTGTTTCTTATCAGCACCAGACTATTCCTTCCCTCCTTCCTTGGCTATAACTTCGCGTCTGTCCTCGTCTTGGTACGCCGCTGGTCGCCCCTGGCCAACATTGAATGCGCCTTGCATCACGACCTGCCAGGTCCAGCACGCAAACACCCACTCAGCTTTGTTCCGAGAACCCCAAAACGCCATCGCCACATGTCTCTTGCTGTGGAAGACGACCGCCGACGAGACCGGTCGAGGTCGAGGTCTCGCGACCGGCGTCCAAGAGACGATCCCGAGCCCTCGAGCGCCACCAGGTTTGCCGACGTGCGAGAACCGAGCTACGTCTATCCCGAGGACGACCTAGATGATCGCTACAGGTCTCGAGGCCACCGCGACTCGGCCCATGCTGGGGGATTGCCCTACCCCCCTGAAGGCGGCATGGATGCTATGCTCCCCGGAAGCCAATCGCTCTACAGCTATGATGATGCGCGACCTATTTACAAGACGGCCTCCCCGCCGAGGGAATCCTCTCATCGAAGCTCTCGCGACAAGACAGAGCGCGAAAGTTCCAGTCAGCTGCCTGGATCGTTTCCAGACGACGATCGCTCCAGGAGGGATCATGACAAGGAGCGCCATGTGCGATATGCTGATCCCAGGGATTCCAAGTACGAGAGGATGAATAGATCAGATGACGACTACCATGACCCGCGAGCTCGTCGGTCTCACAAGTATGCGCGAGAAGACGAGGGCCCTGGGATCCGTGACGCCTCTCCGCCTAGAGACAAGTACTCGCGAGGCTCGCGGGACGACGTTTCCGACGATAAGCTCAAGTTTCTCCCGCAAAAGTACAGTCGTCGCTATGATGATGACGACGACACCAATGGCAATCGCGACGACAAGTACTCAAAGCGCGATAAGGACAGGAGGAGTGACCGCGACAGCAGGTCCAAGAAGGAGCGAGATGAGGACGATTTGGCTTACGGCAAACCTCCGGGGCCGTCTCGCTCTCGGAGACAAGAGTCGCCCCCTACTTATGGCAGCTACATTTCTGCTTCTCAAGTGAGCGACAAGAGGTCCTCGAGGTATGGTCGAGAGGACGATGATGATCGCCGACAAAGGCCGGCCAGCCCGTCCGAGAATCCCTACGACGCTAGAAAGTCTCGCCGTGAGCCTTCATACCGAGACGAGCCTCGCCATTCCGCCAATGTCTTGACAGTTGGGCCTGGCAGCGGCGACAGAGACCGATCACGCGACCGCCGAAGAGACAAATCTCCCGGCCCGGCAACCCTTTCCCCAGAATCAGATCGCAAAGAGAGAGACCGCTCAAGAGACCGCCGTGGCGGCGCGCGCGACAAGTCCCCCCAACCGCCAACAAACCGCATGTCCAGCCTAACGGTTGACACCGGCCGCTCAAGCAACCTGTCACTTGCCGCCGCTCCCGCCTCGCCGCTCCTGGAATCGTACAAGGGCACATATCAAGACTGCTCGCCCATGCCGTCCCCTCTCCTCATCGCTTCCAAAGACCCCAACAGCGACCCCAGGGTCATCGAGGCCCTCTCTCCGCTGAACTCGGACGTCGACAGCCCCGACGGCAAGAAGCGTTCCCGCCGCGCGCGCTTCCACGACCCAGAAGACATTGCCACCAGGCTCGCCAGAGCCCTCAAAGGCGACAGAACCCCCGACATCCGGCCTCTCATCGAGATCCTCCCCAGTCTCACGCACGATCAAGTCATGGAGCTGCGCAGCCAGTACAAACGCATTGTGAAGACGGGCTCCGACCGCAAGGGTGTCAACATTGCCAAGCACATCCGCGCCCGCCTCAAGGACGAGGACCCCAACCTCATGAAGGCCTGCTACGCCGTCGCTCTGGGCAAATGGGAGTCGGAGGCATACTGGGCCAATTTCTGGTATCAGGGCGATAAGACGCGGCGCGAGCTACTCATCGAGTCCCTCATGGGCAGAACCAACGACGAAATCCGCCACATCAAGGATGCATTCACCGACAAAAAGTACGACAACAGCCTCACAAAATGTATGAAGGTGGAGCTCAAGGAGGACAAGTTCAAGAAGGCCGTGCTCATGGTCCTCGACGAGCGCCGCATGGACGACTTTGATCCCTACGGGCGCAGAATGCCCATCGACTACCACCTCGTCGACCAGGACGTTGACGACCTCCGGAGGGCGGTCAAGGCCGAAAAGGGCGGCGAAAGCGCCATGATTTCCATTGTCGTCAAGAGAAGCGACGCCCACCTAAGGCATGTCCTGCAGGAATACGAGCATCATTACCGGGCAAACTTTGCGAGGGAAGCGCTCAAGAAGAGCGGCAATCTAGTCGTACGTACTCCCACCATCCCCGAGGTATGTGAATAGTAGGAAAGGAACAGGCACTAACCATTCCCCAGGGCGAACTACTGGCTCATATTCTCAACGGCGTCATCAACAGGCCCGTCCGCGACGCGCTCCTGCTCAACCACGCACTCACGGCGTCTCGCAAGGACGGTCTCCGCCGGGAGCTGCTCATTTCGAGACTGGTCCGCTTCCACTGGGACCCGGCGCACATGCAGGCTGTAAAGAGGTCGTACCGGGAGCGGTACGGCGTGGATCTGCAGGAGGCGGTGCGGGAGGGCACGAGCGGCCAATGGGGCGAGTTTTGTAGGGAGCTGTGCATCGCGAGGATGCCAGACGATGTGAGGAGGGTCTAACTACCCAAGTTGGGGTACCTGGGTAGTAGTGAAAGGTTCTGGATTCGATGTAGCGAAACCGATTTGCGGCATGACATCCAGCAGGCATACGCGGGACGACGGAACAGGTTGGCAAAGGTGCCCAGGCGACTGTACTGTCTGGTTCATTATTCATCCACCCATGTATTTATTTATTTATTTTTATTTATTTTGGCTTTTAGTAGAGACCCCTATGCAAAACTCTATTTCTTGGCCTTGCCTTTGCCGCCCTTGCCGCCGCCCTTGCCGCCGCCCTTTTGTCCGCCTTTTCCTCCTCCGCTGCCACCAGCGCTTCCGCCAGACATCATGACTCTCACCTTGCCGGCGGGGACGCAGTTCACAACCTCCTCCACCTTCATGCCCTTGATCAGATCTACTTCGCGAGGCCACATCCTTTCCGAATCAAGGGAGGATTCGTCCACGGCGCCCTTTTTGCCGGAGTCCGCTTTCCAGCGCTCCACGACTTCCTTTGTGGCTTTGCCCTTTTTCACGGCTCCGGGCTGCAGCTTCGCCTTGTATTTGAACTTGCCGAGGGCGTTCCAAGGCGCGCATACGGGGATGGCCTCGAGAATGTCATCCCCCGGCAGGGGAGTGCCGACCAGGGCATCGAGAGGAGTAGTCTTCTCGGCTTCATCTGCGTCGAGCACCTCGATGCCTTCGTCCATCATCACCCGCCTAATCTCTTCGTGCTCCGCGACTTCTTTCTGCTGTCGCTGGTGTTGGGCACGACGTCGTTCTCTGGCGGCATCTAGCTCGGCTTGCCTGTCCGCCCTGGCCTTGGCCTCTGCCTCTTGTCGTTTCTGGCCGACGGTTGCGCCGATTAGTGCCTCGGCGGCGGCGCGGTCCTCCTCGTCTTGGTCTTTGTATTTGAGAGCAACCTTCTTTGCTTTTCCTTTTTGGCCGCGCTTAGGAGGTCCTTTCTTGGAATGAGAGGGTGGTGTACCGGCGGTTTGAGTCGTCGTGTCTGATGTTTTGGTAGGTGCTTCGGACGCTTCTGTCGCCAGTTCCGACTCGTCTCGATTCGTGCCAGTTTCTGCTGCCTCATCCTCGCCATCGGCTTCACCAGTTGGCTGCTCTGTGAGGTTCAAGGATGACACTGCACCAGTGGCTTCGTCTACCCTGTCGTCTTCTGCAGCATCAGGAGGAGCCTGAAGGGGGTTTGCGCGGGCATCCTCCTTTTCTTGGCCGTCATCACTTTCATTGTCAGACTGAGTTACGTCGTCTTCTGGTTCCTTCTCCTGAGTGTCTGCCACCGACGCAATGCTCTGCATATCGTTGCGATCTGTCGCTGTGTCTGAGCCCAGAGCCGAGTCAACATCGTGTATTCTGTGTTTGACATGTCTCGCTTTGCTTTCTTCACTAATCTTGAACATGATCCCAAGACCGAGTAGAAGTTGTGCCGGGGCCAAAAAGTTCTTCTGTCCTCGCACCATGAAGCTACCAGTTGGCAAGAAATCTCCTGCGGGCCCCGACTTCGAAACCTGGTCTGCCTTAACCCACCATGCCCCCATGCCTGCTTTCTGGTCCCATGCTTCAGAGGCGCAAACCGACAGGTTGCCTGCCTGGGCTAAAGTTGCTGGAGGTATAGGTGCATCCGGCGTGCTTGGGTTGTTCTTGATAATAACGCTTGGCGCTCCTCTCAAGTCGGCATGACAATATACGTCACCCTTTCGCAGATATCTCTTGTACAATATTTCATTTTGTTGAGCATCTTTTCCACCAAGGACAAGGTACCCATCGGAAGAGATGAACCAGAGGAACTTTTCGAACCACAACTGTTTCCTGATAGGCTGCAGGAGAGCCTTTTCTTGTTTGAGTCCCTTCTTCAAGTCTTCCGCAATCTTCTGCTCTGCATTTTTGAGAGCCCGGGATGCCTGCTGTTGCGTCTTCTCTTCTTTTACAACTGCAGTCCGCCGTTGTTCATAATACTCTCGAGCGTTACTCCATGGGCTCAGCTTGAGATTGATTTCAACATTTAAACCCTTGACCGGCTTCTCACCTTTCTTTGAAACGGTACTGGCCTCGTTTTCGTCTTCGGAATCGCTGTCATCTGTCTCAAATGGATCCGCTTCCTCCTCTTCCTCCTCCTCCTCTTCAGCTAGGCTGAGCGTAATGAGATTTTCACCAAGATTGAGGGGAAGGACAATAATGTCTGCCACAGCGTTCTTGCGCTTCTTTTCTCGCTCGACGAGTTTTCCAATGTCGACCCAGTCCATGCCCTGAGCAAGAAGCCCATTGACCGCGTCCATAGCTTCTTGTACCCATTCAACATTTGCCTCAATCGCAGCCGCTTTGCGCATGTTCAATGTCTGGGCATCTTGCAGGCCCTCAATTCTCTTGGTTTGGTCTGCTTTGGTTGCATCCAGCTTCCTTTTTGCCGCTGCTTCTCTCTCGTTTAGCCTCGTTTCTAACTTCTGACCCTCTAATGACGAGAAGAATTCATCCACTGTTTGATTATAGCCTTTGAATTCTAGCACTTTTATGCTTGGGTCTCCCTGAAGCTTGTGAGGAATGAATGGGTGGAAGTCCTCGTATAGTAGTTCGTCGCGGTTTGTCGCTGCTTCGCTGCCTTGGGCCTCTTGAATGGGGTTTCCATCCCGCCTTTTTGCAAAAATATAGCCATTGCATATTTCGGAGCTGGTTATGTCCTGGACAGAAGATTGTGCCTCTGATAGGAGCTTGACAAGCTCATCCAATAGTACTTCGTTTTCCAGAATATCGACCGGTTTGACAGCCGTTTTAAAGTTATTCGACTGCAAGATATGGTCAACGAGAACCGGGGGGAGTTCAGTAATAGATACGGCCAGACATTTTCGCAAGTCCCCGCCGGGCTTTCCTTTCAGCTTTTTGGACGCTGGAGTGGCGGCAGCTTTGTCAACCGCCGACTTCAAGGCCACCTGTACCCTCTCTCTAGTTAGGGGAGGAATGCCGTGGAAATTCTGTCGATTCTCGAGTGAATATTGCAGGCCAACGCGCTGGGGTTCCTGACCCTCTCCTTCCGAGACATTTCGGGCAAGGCTCAAAATTTTCAAGTCGGCGTCGGTCAGAATGATATTGCCGCTCTGTGTATTTCGTTAAATTTTTTTGCCACCCACTGAAACGGTTGAGTCGGTAGGGTGGTTCGTACCGCAAAAAACTCTAGAAAAAGCCTATACTGTCCATCACTGAATTGGAATTCCAGAATTCTGTCAGTGCCAACTTGCGACACTGAAGTTAATCGCCTCGTTTTCAGGAGCTTCCTCAGTCGAGCCACGAAAGCCGACGGAGCAGCAGCTGTAGTTCGGGAAAATTCCGTCAAGTGGCAGCGAAATCCAGTATCAACAACCAATTGTTTCTTGTTATCGGGCTTGGCGAATTTCAAGAGCAGGATTTTGGACGAAAGGTCGTACACGTTCGCCAGACGTAGCGTCACCAAGCTCTGATTGAGCTCGTGTGCGATTACCTAACGGAGCACGCCGCGGTGTTAGAAGAGGCGGCTTCAAGAGGCGGATCCGCAGCAACGCACCTTGACATCCAATGACGAGAATCTTTGCTTCATGTTGGATTTTGGAGTGTACTGGCTCGGTTTGCAAAGTACCTAGATAATCGGGTTGAACCAAGCCAGAAGTCTTTTTGGTGGTTCAACTCCAGTCCTCGGGAACATTCGTCAAACGTGGGGCAGGACACACATGGTTTGACAGCGTCTGTCATCGCGGGGCAGCTCACGCCGAGCTGAGTCAAGAAGCTCGAAAGAGTGACGACATGGTGTCACGTGCTGGGGCAGCTGACTGCAAGCGTCAGACTTCAAACAGAACCTCCCTTTGACATTATGCCTTTGTATTTTATTGAATAAAATTTGCCTTGCTTACGTTTGGGGCACCTTATTACTATGACTTTCTATTTTGTTGATAGGCCTCGTGCAAGCCTGTGTTGTTTGAGCGAATTGCTTATGCTATGCTTGGTTCGATTGCCGTTTGGTGTGCCTTTCTGTTAAAAAGGCACTATTTGTATATAAAAGCATTGAATGAGCGAATTAGAATTAATTCATGCTATTTATGAGTCTCTAACTACAGAGGCTAGAGAGGTGCTGTTGTGTTTCGACTTACACGACCACGCCAGAGCGGCATCACTTGCGTTGATAGTTACTGTTTCTAGGCCAACAAAACAATTGGGTACCATTAAACAAAGAAATGAAAAAATTAGTTTAGAGATCTAGAAATGATCAATACTTTACTTTGGGGAAGCGCCATTGCAGTTCGTTTCCGAATCGGCTATCCCACCCACGCCGGGCTGCGTTTGTAATTGACCCGTAACCCACGCCATTAATATTAGATCAATATATTGTGCGTGTACCAGGAAGAATAGGTTAGTGTGAGCCGCTAGTAGTTGGTTGAGGGCCTAGGGAGGAATGGCCTGACATCAATTGTTTGCATAAATTGTAGGTGAGATTAGGTGCTTTCACGGCAGTTATGGGCTTTGACCATCGAGTCGAGGAGAAAAAAAATCTACGAGTTTCGGTCCTTGGCCCAATCCCCCCTATATCCAGCTTATGTATATGCGTGCTCTTGACTGCCTGACAGGTGCAGGCAAGATTAACAACTAATGAGATTAGCGCACTGGAAGATTGGGATTGGGTAGAGATGGATCCTGCAGCTATCAATACAATGAGCCATCGGCTATTATATTAATAAAGGCAATATCCATGCTTAAGGGTATATCATCGTTGTGTTAAGATTGGGGCTTCAATCAAGGCAACGGTGCTACGCTCTGCCTTATTCGGAACTCGCAAGCGCCCCATCGTATGAGTTCTGATATGGTAGGGCGAGGCATGGGTAGTGACTCGGGCTGGCTCGATAACAGCCATCGTGACTTGTTCGCAGCTATGCTATAAAACCGTCATTTTTGGCATAATCGAACCCTTGTGCGTTTGGTCATGCGTGACGCCCGAGTTCCAATATGAGTTGACAAGGAAAAAGGGCCGAATAACACATCTTCTGGGAAAATCAGAAGATATTGAGGAGAGTTCGCCCAATGTATGATATATAAACCTCGCGCAGGCAATGCTGCCGTGCTAATCCACATGCTTTGGCAGAGAGTAAGCACTGACTCCCGCACTTGGGCCTTCACCGTTAAGCACCGCATCGCCGCATTACGATAGTATCATTTCCTCCAACGTTCTTCCGCGATGAAGACAAGCCTCTGGGCCTTGACAACCACGCTGCTACTCTTGCTTGGGCTTTGCCGGAGCCACCCACCAGAACCAGGACGCAGCATCGAGACGACGCTCGACCGTCGCCAGTTAGGCGATGTTGATGCCGAATCTCCGTCACATGTGTACCGCGGCGAGATCGGGAGGACCCCAGAGGACGTTGAAAAGGATGGCGGATTTTACTCACGAGGCCTGCAGAAGTCACAATCATATGGAGGCAGTAGTCTCTCTGACGTGGAGATGCAGGAAGGCAGCAGCCTGTTTCGCCACGCCGCAGGAGATACGGCGGAATATACGCGCTATGTCTCGACAAGTACTGATCCTGGCGTGTCGCTCACATTCGCCATTAATGATGAGAAGCCCGAGGAAAAGGGTTTCGTTTACAAGATCCACGCTGATAAAAAATTAGTAAATGTCAACAAGTCCCTTGGCAAATACTCCCCTTATCCCGCGCAAAAAGAACACGCAGCTGTGGGTTTTATCCCATTTGAGCAGATCGAAGGCTGGTGGCAAGTCACATATTTAGATGACTTTTCTGACCCCAAGATCGGCAAGGTGACCCAAGAGAGGCTGCGAAACGAAAAGTTCAAGGCCTTCCAGAAGAATACAAAGTTTAGCAAGAACACATTCCAGAATCAACGAGGCGCGGGCGTTGCACCACAGCTCGCGGGGTTCCCTCGGCTCTCGACGGCGTGGGAAGAGGACCCGTGGAAGCAATTCAAGGCGCAGGACGTGCAAAAGAACCTCGACGACCTGATTACTTCTGCATGTGCCGGCAAGGACAGCTGCATGACGCAGCTCGGCCACTCGTCCAAGCAGAAAAGCGCCAAGGTGCCCTGGACCGCCAACGCCGCCGACGGACCCGACGCGAGGCCGGCGAAACCCAAGCCAAAGCCAGCGGCAGTCAAGAGCGGCTTCCGGGTGCACGGGAGAGCGGGGACGCTGGTGGGCTTCAGCATCCTGGCGCCGTACCTGCAAGACGTGCTCAGGCGGCTGCGAGACTGGGACCATCCCATCGGCCAGACGGTCAAGTTGTTTGACGACGGCGTCAACGCGGCGCAGGAGGCGATTGGGGGCCCGCCGCGCAACGACATCAGCGGCAACGACAACCAGGCGGCGCTCATCAACTTCTTCAAGCGCGTCTTCTGGGCGCTGCAGAGCGTGACGCCGGGGCAGGAGCGGCCCGCGGACCTGGCGCTCCTGTCATACGGGGAGAAGAGCAGGAGGCGGCTGGACAGCGTCAACGACGTCCTCCGCACCTGCGAGCGCGTCGATGCCGTCCCGCCCGACGAGCAGGAGCAGCAGCAGCAGCAGCAGCAGCAGCAGCTGGGCGCCAAGGTGCACAATACGTGTGCCGACCTCCGCAAGAGGGCCATGGAGATCGAGGCGCCCGCCGCCGCAAAGCTGGTGACGGGGCAGGCTGCCTGCTTGGTCTGCGGGCTGGCCTGGGATGTGACGGGCAGCAGGTGCCTGGATACGACGGGCGCCGTCCGCTGGCCGCCCAAGTCCCCCGAGAGCTACTCGCCCGAGACGCCAGATGCATCAAGCAAGTGTCGCGATGCGACTGGCATCATCCCGTGTGGAGGTGGACAGACAGCGGCAGGACTCAAGATAGGACGTGCCGTTTGTGCAATCTGCGGGTTTGCGTGGGACGCCGAAGGCGGTAAATGCAGGAATAGATCTGGGGTGCTCGTCTGGCCTCTGAGGCCTTGAGTCTATCAACCGCCGCTACATGTAGTAACTACAACTTGGCTAGCTAAATATACGATATTGAAAATGAAGTTTTGCACAGAGGACAAAACATGGGGGCAGACTGGCCTCTCATTGGCTCAACAAATTTCCAAGCCACATGGGCGAAGTCGCCGCGACATTCATCTACGGTTTGGGTTCTCTCGAGTTTGGTTGCACGCGTTTCGAGTCAAAAACACCTCGCCCTAAAAGGTAGCTACTACAAACATCGTGCTGGGCGTGGCTACAAATAGCAACTCATATGTACTTTGATCCAGCTCAATTGATTGCTTAGAGACAGTAATTGAGTATCGCAGTGGCTATTGAGCAAACCACAGCAATGCTACGTGATCTGAATACAGAGAGGTATCAATTCTCAACAGTATCATGGCCCTAGTTACGGAGCACAAGGAGTTCCTTAGATTCACGATGCATTATGTCGTCGGTCAATTGTTGCCTGTTTACCGTACTCCGTAGTCTCCGTAGAGACGGGAAATCGCCGTCACAGGCTCAGTCCAAATCACAAATCCTACTCATCATGGCCGAGGCAAACCCCGTCTGCGCGACCCGCACCCATCTCAACACGCGATGCGGAAACGCGGTACGGTCATGGCCGGGAGCTGCAGATTGCTTAGCGCCACACGCAAATAGACCAAATAGACCACCAGCCAAGAGCAAGGGTCCGAGTTCTTGTTGGCACAGCAACAGCGTATCAGATCCCTGGAGAGCCCAAATTTCGACATTTGACACACTTGACAAGCTCCGTGGCCTTGTCAGATGGCCGCGTTCGATGCATCGACGGATCGTGCAACAGATGCTCTAGCATGAGCTTGATCTGGCACTACAACCCTCGAATGTAGCCAGCTGCCTTTTGGGCAAACTTGCCAACGTGTTGTCAGGTGAAAAGCACCGTATCTGAACAGCCCAAGTGGATTCGGACGCCAAGGTATGTTATTGTATGTACCGTCTGTCTGCAGGGCGACGCGCCAGGCAAACCTAATAACGGCTGTCGTCCAAACAGCCAGCCTCCTCTGGACGCCCTGCCCGAGGTGCTGGAATGTCCGCAGCGTCCACCTTGTCCACTCGTGTTGTTGCATAAGTTGTTCTGCAGCCGGGTGGTGAATCAAGCGAATCAATCCAATGGCAGATTCACACGACGGCATCCGCCCCCGTGTCAGGGTGGCCCCCTGAAGCATCGGATTGGAACTCAAGGCCGGCGGCAGAAAGAAGAAAGAATGAAGACGCACTGGTACGTGCTGGCTTCCCGGCTTCTTGTTGTCCATCTGGCAATGGCATTGTTCGGCATCCGTCGACGTCTTTCTGCATCAGCACCAGCTGAGCTCCACAACGCAGAAATACAATGAACCCAACACGGCCCAATTTAAGGACCGTGTCTGAGACACCATCCGCGGAGACGAGTGGTGCCATGGGAGAACCAATGGCTGTGTGCCTGAAGCTCCTTGGTCCTTGTCGGAACAAGGCGCCCTTCTCCCCCCCAGTCGCCTCCCGCCTCCCGCATTCCATTCGTACGGACCGATAAAACGTGTATGAAAACTGGGCTTGAAGGGACCAATTTCGCCTCTTGCAACCATCTGGTGCAATGCAGCTGACGAACAGGCCTCTCTGGGTTGGAGACGGACAGATGTTGGGTTGCTGAGACGGACTCGACGCCCTCGAGCTGGCTCTCCTGATGCTCAGGTGGAGATGAGATGCGGAGCTATTCCTCTTTGGACCAGAGTAAACAAACCCCAGCCGGCATAAACACGACGGTTAATAGACACACCCTGCTTGGCAACACAATGCTGCGCAATGGCCCTACCTGATCCAATCCTGCTCTTCGTCCTCAAAAGCCTGGTGCGTCTGCCCGCAGTTCCGACCTGATCCTTCCCCTCCAATTATCTCCAACCACATCATACAACAGACAAGACTTCAATTCCCTGCAAGAAAGAAGAAGACATCAAAAAGGCCCAACGCCCTTTTTCCTCCCCTTCTCCTCTCTTCGACTTTTGTTCAAGGAACAGAAGCCAGGGAATCCTTCTTGTCTTCCTTTCGTGCTATCAGCTACGGAGGGTTGTATGAGAAGCCGATTCTCTCGCGCCAGCAAAAGTCGCCAATCTGGACTTTGAAGCCCGCGTCCCCGTCCCTTTCAGCATCTTCCCCTCGACTTATCGGGACAGCGAGTCGCAAACCGCCGTCCAGACTCACGAAGAGGTTGACGTCAAGCTCCCTCAGAGGCAGGAGCCAGCCGGACGGCAAGATCAATACTCTTCTTACTCTGCCCACGTCGATCTTCCCCCGCGTGGAGAGCACCGCGAGCACCGCGAGCACCGCTTCAGCGAAGAAGAGGTCCGTTTCAGCGAAGAGCGTCACCGCCGTCCCGGTTTCCAGCAGGAGCAATTCGTGAAGGAAGACTTCCGGTGAGATTTTTTTTTTTCTTCTGATTTCTTTTTCATCTCCAATTCTGCGTGTGGCTCTCGACCTGCTGCTTCACATGTTGCCGCATCCTCGACATCTGCTCCCCTCCCCTCTCTCCAGTCTGCGGCTCGGGGAACGACCCTTCTCTGATCCTGCGTGCCGCGAGCGCAACGCCCGTGGTCACCAATTCCCACCCTTTCCGCCCAGAAGTGACAGAATAATGCGGTGTGACGAAAGAGGCCCCGTTCTAGGCCTCGAATCGGACACGCATTGCTTCTGCAGGGGGTCTTCATATACGCCCCATACCCCCCCAGGTCAGGGGCATTCGGTTACCACAAAAGCTTTGTTGACATAGAAACTACTGGCCACATCCAACCAAAACACAAATCTTTTCAGCTAACTCTGATCCTTCCAGACCAGGACGTACTGAGTACACCGACACTCGTATTGAGATCGACACTCACCAACAGCCTTACTCTTCCCCCATTGACGTTGCTGAGCGTGAATATCGTGAACGCTTCCGCCCCGTCTATCACACCACCGTAGACGCTCCTACTCGCCCTCAGTACCACCAGACCGAGGACGTCCGTGTCAATCAGTACACCGTTGAAGAACGACCTGTTCAGACTTCTGTTCACCAGCAAGTCAAGTTCTCTGACGAGACCGTTGAGCCTGCTCGCTTCAGCCAAGCACAACAAAAGTCCAACATGGGTTACTACGACGAGGACGGTATGTTGGCTGTCTGCCACCCTGTCCACAATTGTGGCATCTCCAAAGTACAAGTCGCTAATGAAGCTTCAGGTCACTACCACTCCTTCCGCCAGGGCATCCACAAGCTTGCCGACAAGATTGCGCACCCTCACCACCACCACCATGACCACGTCGACGTCGACGTGGACATCAAGGAGGACATTCGGGTGACCGGGACCCGCCCTCGCCCGGTCCAGTCTGGTGGCTCCTATGTGCCCAACACCGTCACCATTCCCTGCCACCACATCCGCCTCGGCGACTTCTTGATGCTCCAGGGCCGCCCTTGCCAGGTCATCCGCATTTCGACCTCAAATGCCACTGGCCAGTACCGATACCTCGGTGTCGACCTGTTCACCAAGCAGTTGCACGAGGAGTCCTCCTTCGTCTCCAACCCCGCTCCAAGCGTCATTGTTCAGACCATGCTCGGTCCCGTCTTCAAGCAGTACCGTGTCCTGGACATGCAGGGTGGCCACATTGTTGCCATGACTGAGACTGGCGATGTCAAGCAGAGCCTGCCTGTCATTGATCAGTCCAACCTGTGGGCTCGCCTGTCGACTGCTTTCGAGTCGGGCCGTGGCAGTGTCCGTGTCCTTGTCCTCAACGACAGCGGCCGTGAGCTCGCCGTCGACATGAAGGTCATTCACGGCTCTCGCCTGTAAATCAGTTTTCTTAGGTGTAGTTTTTGAAGAACCGTCGACGCTCCTTTGACGAGCCATGGCAATGCAGCCAAGCAAACATTGTACTGGCGCTTGTGAAATTTGAGGTCATTGGATTGTAGAAATTGCAGCATACCTGATATTTTTTGCACATGGTTTTGGATGGAACAAATTGTCAGGCATTGGAGTCGTCGAGAGAATCTAGGTAGATAGGACGTTCCTGTACATGGACCAATGAAGAAGTCAATTAATATCTAACCGGTATGTCTGGATATGACTGGTTGATTGTCGAAGTAAGGAAACTTTACAACTATTATCCCATCTGCTGACATGGTGGAACGGCCAATCAATAGCTGGGTAGACGAAGCTTCGAGGGGAAGTGTGTATCTGTAGATGAGTACCCGTCAGCGCGTCAGCGCGTCAGCGCGTCAGCGCGTCAGCGACTAAGTGGACGAGCCACTTTGTTGCCAACGGTTAGTCGTTTGTTCTCAATCACGTATCGATGACTTTGGCCACCTGAATTGCCTTCCATCCTACTCGGCGAGCGTTCTGTCAGCATACATATATATGTTGTGTCGCAAGCTGTATGCCGACTCGAGTTTCTGGCTCAAGAGAGGGAGGAATCCACGACCGGGTCCCCTGATATAGATTATCGGCACGGGATGTTTTTTTTTTCTTTTTTCGAAGAGAGAGAGACTGATCATGCTTATCAGGTGCAGGTCGGGCTGTACGGCGTCCCTCAAAATACTGATTGCATCCTCGGGATGTGCCTACCCTGATGCACTATGGTGAGACTATTGCGAGGCCTGCAGCATTGTGCCATGCGTAGTGCTGAGGGTCCCTAGATTTGTCTACATGTCTGAATATTTGGAGTAGTCCGGCGAGCTGACGTGCAAATGTCGAGGTATGTCGTGACTCTTTGTGGAATGGATGCAGTATGCCGCGAGGTAGTTTTGAGCCATCAAGGTGCTGGTAGGGAGAGACCTTTGGAGTTTGGATGTGGCGGGTTGTGGAGAGACTCTTCAGCCGTCTTAACCTGCATGGGAAGCTGTCTCGCCTTGCCGGGTACTGGATCCTTCCCTTTGATGCTCATGCGGAGTGACATGTTGCGCCTTGTTTAGATCGTCCTCTGCATATCTGGATAGTGATACAGGGTGGTTGTGAAGTTGTCTGGAGGCTTTGTCCCAGGACCGTGGTCCTTCGACCCTGCTATTGTATGTCGAGATGTCTATAATCCTCAGGAAGACGCTGCCATTCGCCTGGCCATGGCTCCATCGCGAAACAGGGTGGCACGGGTGGCACTGCTGACATGGGGTGTCTTATCTTAGCACCTTGCTGGAGGAGGAGGTTGCGCGTGACAGCCGTTCGGCACGAGTGGTCGAAGAGGTTACCTTAATGGCACCTGTTCCGACGTTCGGCTCTCCCCCTCTATTTCTATTTCTATTTCTCTTTTACTTTTACTTTTACTTCAATTACTAGTTGTTCCTCCCCTTTTGCGGCGTATGCTGGGACACTGTTACTTGACCGTCTGGTTACAAAGTCGAGTCGCCGTGTAGGCTCATACTGTACACACAAGCTAGCATAACAACCATGGGCGGCCAGCAGTCAAAAGCGTCTGCGTCTCGAGCGCATGACAAGGTCATGGTTGATCGTCTGCGCAAGATGAATCTCCAAGAGAACAGCATCTCTGGCGAGGTGAATGAGAAGAGCGGCAAGTTGATCCGTGATGCAGAGCCTCTGCCGTTGGATGCAGTGTCTCTGTTGCCTTCGACGATTTTGGAGGACCCCCGAAACAGGTTCGTACATGTGAGGAAGCGATACATATCTCATTTTAAGACGTTTTATTTACTAAGCTGCTGTCTATTCTGGCAGGCTTGCTCTCTCGGCGTTGAGTTCGGCCAACCCGCGGACGGTTCTGACCTCGCAGGCTTCCAAGATTGCTAATCAGCACGTTTTCAATACAAAGATTCCCTTTGAGGGCGCGCCTATTACGAACCAGCGCTCGAGTGGTCGATGCTGGCTGTTTGCTTCTACCAATGTGTTCCGCGTGGCTATCATGAAGAGGTACAACCTCGAGTCGTTTGAGTTGTCCCAGAACTACCTCTACTACTATGACAAGCTTGAGAAGTCGAACTGGTTCCTCGAGCAAATCATTGACACCTCTGGAGAGGACCTGGACGGCCGTGTCGTCCAGAGGCTTCTGGATGATCTCATTTCCGACGGTGGCCAGTGGGACATGGTGTACAACTTGGTTGACAAGTACGGCCTTGTTCCTCAAACATTGTACCCGGACAGCTGGAACGCCCAAAACTCGGGCGTTCTCAACACCGTCCTCAAGACCAAGCTCCGCGAGTATGCTCTGAACTTGCGCAATGCAATTGCTGCCGGCCAGGCACCGGGCGTCATTTCCGCCATGAAGATCATCTACATGCAGGAGGTCCAGAAAATCATCACCCTCCTCCTTGGACCTACGCCAAATCCCACGCAGGAGTTCACATGGACATACGCCGACAAGGACAACAAGGTCCACTCCCTGACCGTCACTCCCAAGGACTTTGCCAAGAACATCAGCAGCTCAAACTTCCAGATCACCTCTACTACCATCTCAGACCTGGTCTCGCTCGTCAACGACCCTCGCAACGACCTCATGACCCTCCTCACTGTCGACAGGCTGGGCAACATTGTCGGCGGCCGTGACGTTACCTACATCAACGTCGACATGAAGACCCTCAAGGAAGGCTGCGTGAAGATGATCAAGGCCGGGATACCCGTCTTTTTTGGCTGCGATGTGGGTAAATTCAGCGACAAGACCTCCGGAGTCATGGACCTTCATGTCTTTGACTACGAAGTTGGCATTGGCACGGATCTACTCGGCATGACCAAGGAGGAGAGGTTGCGGGCGGGTGAGAGTCTGATGACGCATGCCATGGTTTTGACGGCCGTGCATTTGGACGAGAAGACGGCGCAACCTGTGCGCTGGAGAGTGCAGAATAGTTGGGGTACAGACAATGTAGGCGATAAAGGGTGGTTTGTCATGACGGATGAGTGGATGGACGAGTTTGTTTATCAGGCCGTTGTTGACCGCAAGTTCTTGAGCAAGGAAGTCAGAGACGTAGCTGAACAGGAGCCGACGGTCTTGCCGTTGTGGGATCCTATGGGTTCTTTGGCTTGATCCAGCCACCATGCTGGGGGGGAGGGGCTTATGAACGGGATGGGCAGATTCTAGGACTTGCTTTATTTACGATGTATGATTCGGTCTGGTAAATTTTCCAAGTTGCGAGGCAGGCTCGATGAGTTAGCTGGGGACGCGAGCCAGAACAGCTGCGCTCGAAGACACAAGAAACTGTTGCTTCTAAACGGGCTCCTCGCCTCCGAGGTCAACCGTGCATGATGACTTGTGAAAATGTACTTAAGAGGTCTCAATTTATACGTTCTCCTTTCCTCTTATGAGTACCAAATGAGCCTTTATCCATAATATGTTAACCTTTGCAGTTGCTTCGCCAGAAGTATGAACGGGAGAAGCAGACATACAATATCGGACATTCAGTAGACTTTCTGGAGAAGGAAACAAAAGGAAGGACATGAAAAAGTGGCTTTCAATATGTGATTAGGCAGTTCTGACTTCTGAGTGGGCAGCTGTAGCCTGATATTGCGGCTGACTGACGGCACACCCCTTCGCCCAAGGCATCGGATTTTGCTGGACGGATTCACATGGGAAAATGGCGTTGTTTATCTCTGCTGAGCGGAGATAATTCATGCTCGAGGGCCATCTGCATGGTAATGGGATGGAGTCAGGCCCTGCTGGTGTGATACTCGTAGCACTTCAGATACACAAACCTAAATGAGCCGAATGTAGCAATCCGAGATGCATCAAAAGGACTGCAGGCTTGAATTTAGCCGACAGACCCCGAAAAGGGTCTTCTTGAACGTTTGGAGAGGAGCATAAGCATTATTACCTTGCCGTGTGTGCGGTTTAGTAGCTGGTATTTCACATGGGGCTACGCGCATGCAGGATATAATGCGGCTGCAGCGGCTACAGCGCGTCAAGTTTGTCGCTTTTGATATTTTGTCTTCCTTGATTCTGCATGGCTTTCCTAGAGGGCGCAAATGCTTCAGGGGTTCGTTAATGTGTTCCCGGACATCGAACACTGAGCATTCGTCAAGACTATGCTCGCGGATCGCGGAACAGTGATGCCGCAACGGATCCTGGTCAACACAACCATTCACGATATATGTATACGCATAGATGTATGTGTGTGCACTCAAATTTCCGCATTAATCAATGCGGATTATTTCTTGCGCGATATGAGGATGCCTTGTGAGATCAGAAACATTTGTCGGGAAGGCAGGCAATTGCTATTGCCCCACCCAGTTCGATTTTATGACAATATTCTCGAAGAGTGTCTGATCAAATGAGCTATGATACTTTGCCCCTCGGTTGCAAGATGGCCTTGCGTGTTTCAACTTGGCATTTCGGTGCTGAGTTTGTTGACGCCAGCGTTTCGGGCAATCAAGTCATGTTTCTCTCTTGTTTATTCAAACTTGTAATTGATGCTGTATCCCATTAGCCTAATTAATTTGTCACTTTAGGCATCCTCCCCAGGATCATGGGTTGAGACGTGTGGGTTGCAATGGATGCCCTATGCTCAAGGCCCACCATTGTTACAATACGCCAATATATGCTGCTAGCTCAGGATGAATGGGTCAGCTTCCGTGATTTTGAGGTTGTGCAATGAAGATATCAGGACCATGTATCTGTGCCTGTTGCCACGCCCACTCAGCCCGACAATAGCTCAAGTAGTTCGAGGTAGATGTTTACCTAAGACCTCGGAATCTAGCGTATGCAGGTACGTGTGAACTACGGCTAGTTTCGATCTTGTACTTGTTGATGCCCGATCCAGAACGAACGCCTCTTTCGATTGACATGTGGTTCGCGAGGACGACGATCTTGACCCATTTGCGGAGCAGTTTAGACTTGCATATCGAGAGACAAATCAGCCCATACCTTGGACTACCAGGATTACTGATTACTTACTCTGTTCCAAGGCAGGCATACCAGGAAAGCAGGTCGTAGGCTGTGTCGGGCGAGGGAAGGGCGTGGCTGCCCAACCCATCGCTTATGTACCTACGAGGGCATCTTACATGGCGTGTGAGCGGAGTCCTCGAGGTGGGTGAAGTAGCAGATTTCCAGCAGTGTCAACAGTCCCGGCAAAGTTGTGTAATAATGGTGTAATAAAGGCCTGCAGATATAATAGTCGCCGCTGGATGACTGAGACTCTCCCAGATGATGACGGATGAACAAGGACCTGATTCAATGCCCCGGACATTGGCTGGTTGGGCCGCAATGTGCCTTTTTTTCTTCTTTGGTGGTGCATGTTATGGACCACGAGTGGGAGACGAGGACGTGGAGAAGTGTGAAGGGATCAAGCTTGTTGCGTTGCTCCTGCCCATGATAAAGGTCGACGGTCCAGGTCTGTCGCATTGAGCCAGTCTGGTTGTTTTCTTTCCTCTTCTTGTCGCATGGATGCGGAGAATCTCCTTGACAGCATCCCCCCCAGATACCTCTGCCGCTGGCTTTGCTTTCCAGTCATTTCTTGCCCTTTTGGGCGGCAATCTGTTCTCGCGTGTCCTGAGAATTAGCTAAGCCTCAATTCACTGCGAGCCACGGCAGTCCACTAGCTGCATTCCGGCAGGACCGGCAACACAACATTGAACGCTGCAACAAAACCTGGAGCTCCACCGTCTTGCAGTCGATACAGGGTCAACGGCATTAGGTCCTGCGAACTGGTGCTAATTCAGTCTCTGTTCTGATTGCACGTTGCAGACAAGAGAGCATTGGTCGTTTCTCCAAGCTAATGGATGACTGATACCTGGGTGGCGAATACCTTCGACCTAAGCACGTTGCCCAGACCCCTAGACAAGGGCGCAGTCTTCAATTCTGGTTCTGGTACGAGTGGCAACGACGTCACAGCATAATAATGCTGATAGCAATGACTAACGTTTGTCTGATGCTTCAGAACAGGGCACCAGCTCATCGACGGGCGAGTCGCAGAGGAAGCCACCCACACCCTCCTGCCCCCCAGCAGGGTTTCTGGTTTGTTGCGCCGACAGTCTGGTCAGACGGTGGACAAGGGTCATCGTCTAGTTGCTTTTGGCTGTGGTCAAAGTTGCAGCTTTGATTAGGCGCACTAACTAAAATTTGGGAGTTGTGGCAGAAGGCGAGACATTGCTGCGTGGCACTAAGAACATACCTAGGCACCGAGGCCGCTAATAATTGTGAAAGTTTCAACTTGCCTCTGCGAGCGAGCGGTATGTAACACGCCGCCCATGAGCCTCCTCCCAGTTGCCAAAATTCTAACCCAGACCTTACAGCTCGAACCTCATCCCCCCACTGGCACTTTAGTTGAGGGAGCGGACGACGTTGAACGGCTCCATAACGGCGTTGAACAATCCAGCAGTACGCCACTGAGCACGGCCCGACGGGATCTGACGGGCTGAAAACCCAAGTGACAGTCTCCAGTTGGAAACTAGCGAGTCGTCGCAAAGTTCCGGCCTTTCGAGCAATCTCTGCTCATTCGGGCGGAGCCCAATTGGTCTCTGGGCAAGTGACGTATGTCGGGTGCCATTGTTCAAGTCCTTTGCCCGTTCCCACCAACACCAAACGCCGATTAGAGTGGCGGTGACCCTGGCGACAATCGTCATTCCGCAGTCTTCGACAGACAGCACTCATTTTGCACTGACACATCCATGAGCACAGAGACCCACATTATTGAGCATTGGGGACTTTCTCTTTTAATCTTCGCTTTTGCCGCTGGTCTCCATATCAGGCGAAGCAAGAAGCGACCCGTCATCCTTTCGACTATTTTCTAATTGCAACAAGCGTATGCTAGAGAAACTATCCCAGCAAGTCGTCAATCCTACAATTTACCAAACTCGGTCTTCTAGAGCAGTTCGTTGGCAATTGATTTGTCAGAAAATCTTCAGATACATATTTTCAATAGCCTTGGCTCATACGCCAAGGCCAACCGGCGAACCCTTCTTCTGCACAGCCATTACGTTCATCGGCATTCCTCCGAGGCTGTCCGCTGATCTGTCAGCACTTGGTCTTTCTTTTGAAGATTGACAAGCCGCCGTAGGGCGGGGGTGGTCGAGGCGCTGTGGACAATTTGACAACCCCTCACCGCAGCCATCATCTTCACCAACGCTTCAGAATTTTGGTCTAGGCTGGTGTCTAGGTGAATTTGCAGGCCAGAAATCATCTTCCAGCAAAGCGAGTGCGGTGTTGAGAGGCACCATCACCTATTGATTGCCACCTCTTCCAAGACTCTCACGAGGCTCGTCAAACATGTCGGATCGGTACATTGGTTATGTTCCCACGTCGTCGGGTCGGTCTCCTACCTTCAACCCTGCCAGAGCTTCTATGCCGACCAGTGTAGGATACAGCTCTATGTATGCCGGAGACATGCATGTCGTACCGTCTGCCAGCCAAAGACACTATATTACTCCGAGAGGCTACTCTACTTCCACGACCGCCTCGGGAGTTCCTACAACTACAAGAACATATGCTATCACCCAGGACCCAAGAGGCAATTCTAGGACTAGAGACGGCAGCAGGACGCGTCGCTCAACGCTGGACTCGACTTCAAGGCCCCCAGTGATAATAACTACAACGCAGTTGGATCGATCTCATGGTTCTTCGTCTCACTCTGGCAATGCACGATCCGGGAGTCCTGTTCGAGACGAATACCGTGCCTCTGACGGGCAAGTTTACTCACAGCCTGCCTCGTCTTTGCGTTCTCGCAATACAGCTTCTCGTTCATATCATGCGCCTTCCCCGAGCGAGGATTTTGGCAGATATAGAGATAGGGCTGACAGTCACTTGAGCTCGCGCGACATCGAAGCTTATCGTAATTCTCGACCTTCAGTTGTTTATCCGAGTGACCCAAGACATAGTACCGCGGCCATCGATTATGGGGACGACGGATATCAGTACACCAACGCCGGCGAGCTCGTCAAATACGACTTGGATCAATCTAAGCCAAGCCGCTCTAGGCGGCATGATCGACATGACAGTTTTGATGCGGGATACTACCGTCCAAACGTCAATTACGATTTAGATAGGAGGAATCTTAATATCAACACCAGCCATGACCTCAATCGACCCCCTAATGG